GCCGACATTTTGTGAATTCGGAGTTGGTCGCGTAAACTGTCGCAGCGCTATGGACGAGACACATCGTCCAGTGCAGTGCTGAACACGTCATTACGTAATCGGTTTGTGTGATCGACTGACCATGGGTTGGACTGCCGACCAAAGCGCCGACCCGGCCCAACCCATGATTTTGGCCTACCGACCCAACCCAACCCAACCCATCCCCAAATATTTTTTGCCCACCCAACCCGGCCCATAAAACCGGGTTGGGCCGGGCCGGGTACCGGGTCATGGGTCAATGGGTCATTTTGCAGCTCTCTGGTATGCAGATGTTTATGTATTATCCAACCTTAGAGCTGTTCAACGTAGGGAACTTGACGTTGCTCCTGGGCATCCGCGACCACCGCTCGGTCTTGTTGCGCTCGTGCGTTCCGCCGAGCCCTTTCGGCATGCTGCAGGATCTCGAGCTCTTTCGGTGGCAGACTCGACCGGTCCTGTGCTGCGGTCATGGAAGAAGCGGCGTCAAGGATCGGTTGCGTCTGCTCTTCGAGTGTGGACAGACAAATCCACAGCGGGCTGATCATGCCGCCGTACGTGTACGCACGATTCGCCACGATGTTGTCATGCGTTCTCAAGGTACTCGTTCTTGCTGCACTCGTCTCGGCCTGGAATGTCGTGGGTTGGGTAGATGAGCTTTATGACGGACACGTATTGCTTGATGTCAATGTACCGTTGTCGTTTGGTGGCGTTTAGCCATCGTTCGTGTTTGTAGAAGTCGAGAAAGACCATAGCCAATGGGGAACTTATCGGTACCGGTTATGGGGAAGACTGGAAGAGGTCGGGGCACCACGGACGACTCGTGCTAGTCGCACGACACATAGCCAGGGACATGTTCGCCGCTGCCCAGTGCTAGTTCATCGTTTCGTATAACAATCTTTGTCATGGACAAGTTGTCATTCGCCGTACCTTGGTCGCGGGTGCAGGACCACGTAGTCGGTCGACGGCGCGCGCCAGACCGAGAAGAGCCGCGCGTCATCGACGCTAAAGTCGACCAGTCGGACGTGGACTGGCAGCTGCTCCAACACACAGCGGCATGCGACGTCGAGGTCGATCGACGCCGGCGAGAGCTCGCCACGGAGCAGCACAATGGCATGCGTCGTCGTCGTCACGTGCAGAAGCACGCGGTTGTCGACGATCGCAATGGGATTGCCATGGAAGATTGCCATGGACGCGGCGGTCGCCGGCGCCGCGTCGGCGTGAAGCCCGAGCACCGAGCAAGAGGACGAGGGTGTCGGTACTGTCGTGGTCGCGGTTGGTGTCGGGCACGGGGACGATGGCCAGGACAGCGTAGGCGCGGGCGCCGCCGAGGCGGAGGCCGCCTCAGAGCCACTGGAAGCCGACGTGGTCTGTGAGCGCGACTTCGTGGAACGACGCATGCGAGTGACCAAAGATCGAGAGACCGACGTTGATCGCAATCATGGCGCCGTCGTCGTCGCCCACGACCACGTTGCACTCGTCGAGCCAGCACACGGCGTTGATCGACGTCTGGAGCGGCAGCGCGCTCATCGCGAACGCGACCTCGTCCCGGCCTTCGATCGAGAAGAGCGTCGGCTCGATCTTGTAGCAGTAGCGGTGGATCGTCTTGGCGCACGTGACGACGCAGATCGATCAAACTGCTTGTTGAGCGACTCAAAGACGCGGACGCCCTGCAGCGCAACATGTCTTCCGTCAGCGCCAATACACAGGCCAGACGACGCTGCAACGTACCCGGCAGCTCGATCGCGAGCGACGCCTTGCCGGACGCCGGCTTGTCGGCGCTACTCTCGTGGACCGGTGTCTCCCAGCGCAGCACGCGCTTGCCAATGGCGTGGTAGCTCATGAAGCGGTCGCGCTGCAGGCCGAAGCCGCCGCCGAGACTCTCGGCGCCTGGCAGAGACAGGGTTAGCCGCCGTCGACTTGGACGATGCAGGTACGTACGGCTCGGGGGTGCATGCGTCGCGCGCCACACACACGGTTGCAGCATCCTCAAGCCATTCCGGGCAGCACTTGGCTGCCACAAAAGGTATACTGCGGGCACTGCGGGCGACAATCTTATCGCCGGCTTACTGCATGCGATTGAACTCTAGAGCGAGCTGCAAGACGATTCTTTGAGAGTGGACGAGAACCAAGACAACGATACCTAGTTAGCAAGAATTGCTTCTCATGCAAGATGCATTTTCTCTTTTTATCGCAATCCCTCTTCGCGAGAGTTCACTACCTTTCTGCAACTCTCGTCTAGGTCGGTTAGTTCCGTTGCCTACAAGTGTATCCGCTTCTCCTCGAAGCTCTCCCTTCTTCTATCACTACATGGTGTTGCGCGTGGGCCGATCGCTGATCGCTTATCGCTGCTATGGTCATCGCTAATGTGTCTTCTCTGCACCGTGATATCCTCTCTGTGTTTGATATGCCTGTATGATTCGCATCTCTCGTTTCCAACACGTTGCGTACACCAATGCCTTCCGACGTGGCAACTTATTTTCGGCAGCGTGGCATTGACATACATTCATTTTTTGTAGCGTTGTGATTGGTGTCCCAAGTTCGGACAACAAACATTTTGGTGTCCGAACGCCGGAGGTATTGAACACTTCGTTGTGGCTGGCTCAGTTCTGGCTGGCTGCATTTTGAGTTGGCCGGTTTGGAATTGCCGCAGACCTATTCGCTTAACAGCTTACATTCAAGTTCGGTGTTGCCGCAGAGCTGTGACCTCGAAATCTATAGTACTTGCGTTGCCCTTCGATGCTATGCACGCCATTCGCATCCTCTCCTTCGTAACGCACCCCGGTATGCGTTTCGTGGTGAGGTATGCAGTCGGTGTCCCCATCGGTGGGGATAGTCCGATAGTCTCGCCACGCTCGCATGGCAATTGAAGCGACGCTGGATCTCCGTTGGTGAAAACGCCTTGGCTGCGCTGCGTGACACAACTCCAATGTCAGGCACGGCCAAATCCGACGCGATCATTTTAGGGTCGAGGAGTCACTCGGTAGGGATGTGGTGTCAAAGACGTCGGCAACACGGTCCAGAGCCGCTCCCGACGATTTCGCCCACGAACGCAACGGTGTCCGCAGCTTGAAGCGGCAGCACCGACGTCAGTGGAGCCAAAATAACTTGGATTTGGCACTAGCGCCATTAGCAGGCCATGAATCACACGTTATGGCCAAGGTCATCGGCTGCACGCGGCTACGAGGTTGGCTTGAAATCCACCGACGTTTGGTCGTGTGTATTCTAGACTGGCCCACAATGTGCCTCAATTCGGTTTTGATGGAATGCTATAAAGTGATTGAGCAGAGCTCGTTCACTAGCTAACTACATCTGTAACATGCTCCTTCTTCTTTGAACTGCAGTTGACAATGGAATACCGACTCTGGCTGAAGGACGCGTGGCCTTGCTGTCTGACCGTCGTCTATTGAGGAGTAGCGTTGGTCGAGGCGCGTGCTCTGGTCGTGGTAGCACCGGGCGCGCGAAAGTGCAGCACTGCGCTGATGGACGACAAGCCGCCAAGGATCGTGGGAAGGTGGTTTTGCGGCGTAGCCGACGTCGCGGGTCGTTGGGCCGCGGGCGCGGGGTGCGGAGCAGCAAGTAGCTGTTCACGACATCACGCTTGGCACGCTGCAGCTCGAATTGTAGTGCATTTGGTTTATCACGCTACGATAAAGGCATGATAAACCCATGTGATAAACCCACGGTTCAGGCTCATGGAACCTAGGCGGCATAGCTCAGAGATCTTACTGGTTCATTGAGATCTTGAATCTGAGAGATCTAAACAATCTCGCTTTTGTTTCTCAAACTCCGAGCACGCTCGACGCACGTTTAGGGGAAACAAGAGGATCTTGGCGCCCGTCAGCCTTGGGAGTGACGTGGCAGAACCCCAAAGACGCGCCAAGTACTCGCCTTCTTCTGTTCCTTTTTGACCCGCCGTTGGTGCGCGCTCGAATGAGGCGTGGCAACGGCGTGCACATTTCATCTTGCAGGGCGTCGTGAGCGCGACGTGCGTGTTGTCATGAGCCGCCTAGCAGTGACGTCCGAGCTTTGGTCTAATTGCCGTACGAGCTCTCTTCACACTCCCTTCCCCCAACACCCTTGCCCCGAGAGCTTTGAAGCACGACGACGCCTGCAGTTGTTGTTGATGAACTGAGTTATTACATGCACTTATAACGATACAGTGGACTTCCTAATGCGCTCGTGAGGCGTGGCCGGTGCGTCAGCGAGAAGCGTTAGTGGTCGTGATGCGTGATTGTGCGAGGGACCACGTAGCGTGCACACCAGGGATCATCGCGGAGAGCGATCAGCGACGCGCCAAGAGATGGCACCACAGCGCGACGACCCAGGTGCCAGACGTGCGATAGTTAGTAGCTGCCCGGATCGCGAGCGCGGCAGCGGGAAGCTGCGCCAGCGTCGTGCGGAAGACACGGTTGTTGCGTTCGAGCCAAAGACAATACCAGACGCCAGCGTGTAAGATCGGCCAGAGGGCACGAATGGACGACTTGTGGGCCGAGTACGGCGCGGCGACGTCGTCGTAGAGAAAGCCAGCGACCGACGACGAGAGTTGCATCTGCAAAATGCCCCGCATGGGCGCACCAGACCGCTCGGACGTATGGGCACCGCACCAAAATATGATCGTACGTTTCCCGGGCTTGCGCATCGCAGAGAAGGCAGTGCCGAGCATCGTGGATGAGAAAGTGCAACGATTACGCCTGCAGTGCTAGGACAAACCGAACGCGCATTGTGGTTTTACCAAGAGTCAAAGAGACCATTTTGTTCAAACGAATACATGTGTCTTATAGCTCTAAACATCTGTGGGTCATTCCACTTCCCTGTTCGCAAAACCTGATGGGCCTGCGCGGGACCATGGGATGTTGCATTCGCTTGGCAGGATCACAATTCGCTCCCGAGTGCTGAAGCGATGCGATAGTTCTACTTGCGGTACACCGTGTACCGTAGCGCAGCGGAGGTTGCACCGCCGTGTGATTCCCGGCCGAAGGCCGGTAGCGGCGCACGCGTTCATTATACATTTCCCAAGTGAACGCGGGTCTGCATTGGACAGGATGTGCTGAACGTACATATATGCACAAGCACCCATTCACCGCTAGATTGCCTTTGACCCAATACCAAATCGAAATCAAAAAGCTCCACTGCACCCTGCACAAACCATCTACATACAGTAGTGAGCGTACTAACTACGATGGATATTCGTGGGTGTGGAGGTCAAGATGTCGCAAAACACGGCTCTAAGGCTTGTATTTTTTTACAAACGCAATGCATATTTTTATTGTGTAGTTTAATTCGAAACTACAAGATCTCGGTGTCGACGGTTGTGCAGTCCCCGTAGACTTTGTACTTGTCTGCGAGTGCAGTCTTGGGCGTCCGATGCGAGTCCCATTCGTCAAGTATATCGAGTCGTAATTGCTCATTGAGGCGCTTGGATATATAGGACGAGGGCGCATATGATGGCGGTAAAGACGAAGTGGAGTTCCTGCCCCACGAATTCGGCTGAGAGCTGAGCAAAAAGCGCGCCAAATTGCAAACGATGCTTCTTTTTTAAATGCCTGCCATTCTCTTTTTTATTACACCATAATTTTATTCGCCAGCGACATGTGGGTGGGGGGCGCAGATTTGATTCCGTAATCGTAGTTAGTACGCTCACTACTGTACAGAGATCAAACTACTGCACACGCAGGGGCCGTTTGAGTAGATTGATTGTCCATGGGCCTGATACCCCACGTATAGGTTAGCTCCATTGAGCCCGCACGCGATGCGCCAGCTAAATCGCGTTAACAAGATGCGATCGGCGCCCAATGCAACATCATGTAGAAGCCCATTGTCCTCTTCCTTGGCGCGCTTGCATTCGACAAACAAAATCGATACATTTTGGCGCCAATGCAAAAAACTACAAAACTTCAACAGGCTTGGCTTCACGGGTCGTCGTCGATGGGCGCAATCTTCATGCTGGCGGCAATGCGGTCGTCGGCGACCGTGTACGCTTCGTCGTCGTCCGGCTTGACACGGTGCAGGACCTTGGACGTCAAGAACGCCTGGCGCGCGAGCTGCCGGGCGACGTACGCCGGCACGTCGTCAATACACGCCGCGACAAGCGCGCGGAAGAGCAGTACGACCGTGACAAAGCCGACAAACAAGCCCAAATCCAGCAGTGGCACGTCCATGTCGTGCTGCTCGAGGTACTCGATGAGCTCGTTGGCGTACTTGTGCGTGTAAAAGATGACCCACGCGTTGGTCACAATCGCGATCGTCACAAACACCTCGAGGACTTCGATCCAGAGACCAATGTTGGCGGCGCTGCGCGGGCGCGGGCGGCGGCAGTCGGCCGTGAGCCGATAGCCGTCAATGCGGATCTCAATCACGTTGTTGATGAACGAGAGGAGCGGCGTGAGCGGGAACGAGACGACGAAGAAGGTCGAGTAGCCAAACTGGAGGATCATTTCGAGAAAGTCGTCAAAGGTGCCCTTCCAGCCATAGTGCGACTTGAAGAATTGGCGCTCGGCCGGACTCAGCGCCATGACGTTGCCGGCTTGCTGCTTGTGCTTGGCGAGCCACGCCCAGAAGCGCGGGACGAGGATTTCCTTGATGTTGCCAATGACGATCTGCGACCCGTAGATCACGATGAGCGAGTAGCGCAGTTCGTTGAAGCAGTCGCCGTCAATGCACTGATCGCCGACATGCTCCTTGACACTGGCCACGTAAATGAGCGCCGCGTAAGCGTTGACAAAATGAAAGATGATGGCCTTCAGAATGTAGTTGGCTTCGTAGCTCGACTCGGTCGCGTGGTTCTCAAAGTCGTTCATGCGCAGACTCAGACCGTCGTAGATGCGGTACATGATGAAGATCTGGAGCAAGTTGATGGTCGACGCAAACGCGCCGCCCAGACGCACGTCGCGGCCGTGCACATGGACGACAAAGATGTCAGGATTGAGGTGCACGAGGTAGTAGCGCAAATAGAAGATGAGGCCCGTGAGGACCAAGACGACGCCAATGAGGCCAAAGAGCACGAGCCAGCTCAGCACGCGTCGCTTGAGGCGCTCCGTCTCGTTGAAAAACTTGATGTCGGCGCCGTTGATCGGCGATTTGGCGAGGTCGCCTTTGAACTGCGGCCGCGGTTGCTCGGCTTCGCTGTGGTGCGTCGTGCCCCAGTGCATCGCGTAGACAGCACTTCTGCGCTTCCAGCCTTCGAGGAAGAGCGTCGCCCAGACCGCCATAAAGACGCCGAACGCGGGCACCGTGTACACTTGGACGACGTAGTTGGCGCCCGCATCGGACGCCGTCGCGTTGTAGCGCTGGCGCAGCCCCATGTCGAGGCTAAAGACGCCGAGGCCGACGACGCCCGAGACGAAGAGGAACGACGTGTAGTACCCGAGGTACGCAAAGTAGAGCGCGACTTTGGTGCCAAAGTAGTTTTTCACCTCGTGGATCGGCTGGCTCCACGGCATGTAGTTCCACGCGACCCACTTGCGCTGGAGCGCACGGAGCTCGTCGACGCTGTGCAGCGGGAAGCAGTCGAGGATCTCGCCGTCCGCCTTGAGCTTGTCCACATCAAAGTGCGCGACGTTCGTGATCATGCTCTCGATGAGCTCCATGCGCTGGACGCTCGAGAAGACGCCGCCCGCCGGCGTCTTGGCGTACAGGTCCCGGACCTCGTCGTACTTGACGTCGTACTTCATGTAAATGTACTCGTACGGCGTGAGGCGGTCGCGCGCGAGTGTGATCGCGTCGCCAATCTCAAACGAGCTCCAGCTCCCGTCGTCGTGCTGGATGCCACGCTTCGCGAGCGCCGCAAGCTTGGTCTCGTCCATGAGCATCGGGAGGTTGATGCGCGCAGCCTCGGCCTCGAGCGCCTTGAGCTTGGCGCGGACCTTGCAAAAGACCATGGTCGGCACGCCGTCTGCCGTCGTCGTCTTGGAGTAGAAGAGCTTGAGCTCGAGGCCGGCCTTCTGGAGCCGCACGAGCAGCTTCTTGATGTGCGCAGGGTCCTTGTTGGGAAAGACGACGACGAAGGCCCACTCGTCGCCGCCGTCGACGTCGAGGCGATGGCTGCTGGACGGCGCCTGCATGAGCTGCGCCTTGACCTGCATGCTGGGTAATTCGAGACTGGCCAGATTGCCGTTCGCGGTATCAACCTGTGAAAAGCAATAGATATGCATGCTACATAGTGTTCGAAACGCATTTCCATACAAATCATGCCGTGTTGAACCTCGGACAATGCATACAAAGCGGAATCGGATGATTGAACTTTCTGGACATGAATATGCTTCACACGTGGTTGCGACGGGTTGTGAAGCAGAGGAGCCTCGCGCGCCGACCCACCGACGCACCGTGCTGCTTGCAATGTGCGAGGGCTGCGTTGACACTGCCTATTCCTATTGCCAGCGCTAACGTTGCGATATGAGCAGATCCAACGCGTTACGCGGATTGTGTCGGTACATGTGTCGTACGACGTGCCAGCGACGACGCGACAGACGATGCTACGGTCGGAAAGGTCATCGCCGGAGCATGGAAGTGCCAGCAAAGAGCACGAAAGAGCGTGGGTCTTGGGCTTGTTTGACGTCGGATCTTAACGCGACAGTGAATTGCATTCTACTGCCGCAATTCAATTATGGTGGCCGTTCTTTAGCACCGAGAGCCTTGGAGGCGCCCATGACATCAAAACCCACTCACATTACTATCGTGTAGTGTAGCTACTGAAACGTCTCAAGGCCCAAGTCGATCGGCGTGTGGGGCTGCACCAAGTAGAAGAGCGTCTGAATCATAAAGGTGAGGCGCTCGCGCTCGAGTTGCTGCACTTTCTTGGCGGTCTCGTACGTCTGGTTGAGCACACGCAGCGGCGTTACGGCTCCTGCGATCGTCGACGCCTTCTTCAGTGCCGCGGTGGCGGCCTCGACGTCGGTGCGCGAGGTGTACCACTTGTGCTTTTGCGTGAGCACCGCGACTAAGATGAGATGCAAGATAGGTGTGAGCACACCAGGCACGCGAGACGACGACGTACCGAGATGGCAGTAGACACAGATGCGCTTGCTCGCGCACTGCTTCTGGTGGCTTCTGTGATTCATCACAAACGTGCAGGCCGGCTCGCTACAGACAATGCCGCTTGCGACGTGGGCGATGTGCACCGCGAACGCCGGAGCATCGGGCGCGTCGGTGATCCCAACGCATGCGACGACGCTCTCGCGCCACCACGAGATGGGTCGCTCGATGGTTTCGCCAATGTACTGCGAGACGACGTCGTTGGCGGGCGCGAGTTGGAGCTCTCGTAGCTTGCATGCAGCGATGACGTTTCGTGTGAAGAGAGTAGGTGTACCTCGAGCAGTCGCGTGCTGTAGTGCAGCGTGTGCGGCGGGGCCATATAGATTGGCGCTTGGATCTTGACCAAGCGCGCCTGCACCGAGCGCAATTGCAGACACGTCTCGAGGAACTGGAGGCGCATCGTCGACGTGAACGTCTGCTTGGAGAGAGTGCGCATATTGCTGGGCGGGCCTTGGCTCCAGTGGTAATACAGCATGGCTACATTCGAGAGCTTGCGTTGCTTGACTAGCAAGAGAGTGTCATACAGGTCGACGCGCTTTGAGCGCACCGTAAAGACAGCGGTAGCAGTCGTGACTCTTGCGGCACACTTGAAGGTGCAGGCAGATGTCAGCAAACGCCGAGCAGCCAGGCGTGCATGGCGCGTCGTGATGCAAGTGCGTCACTGCAGTCGTGCAGTGCTCGTTCGTGCAACTTGCGTTGGTCGTGCACTGCACCGCATCTTCGACAATGCACATGGCGTCGAGCTGCGCCTTCACACTGCCTTCGACCTCGACGTCGTCGAGGACCTCGATCACTTCGGGCGCTTGTCGGCGCGCATGGTCTTGCGTTGGCGGCGCGGCACCACTGCTGTTGCCCATCGAGAGGTGCGCTGGCGCACTGGCGGGCTGAATTGGCGCCGGAAGCTCGCGCCAACCGTGGTTCTGCGACGCGCCTTGTCGGTGCCACAGACCATTGCACGTGTAGCAGAGCTCCATGACATCAATGTACGCTGGCTTGAAGCACTCGACACAGACGACGGCCCGCGGCTCGACTTGGCACCATACGCAGACCGCAGCCATCCGCCCGTTCAAATTCTCGGCCCGTGCGTGTTGTGGATTGGCTAGTTTTAAATACGCCGCTTTAATTGGCTAAAGCATATAGCCAGTTGGGACGATGCACAGTACTACACTGTAGTATAACACTGTACAGTGTACAGTTGTTCCAATCGAGTCTTTTCATTACAGTATCAACGTGGTTTTAGTCCGGGGTTTAGTGCACTGTACAGTATTGATGTTTCTCTAAGCTTCTTCCTGTGTTGACTACCGATATGTGCTCATGACCTGCCCCACTCGCCCCGCCAGCACCGCCCGCACCTTTCGCACCCCGTCTGATGTTTGTGCTTGGGGACGTTGAGATGTTGCAACCTGCCCAGAGGTCCTGCACGTCGCAACTCGTTGAAAATATGACGAGTTTCGACTGCAGGAGCACTCCGCAGATTGCCACACACCCAACTATCCCGGGCACGAGTACCACACGGGATGAAAGGGGTGCGGGGGGCGCTGGTGGGGCGGGTGTCGTATGGATTCCACGGCCATCTCACCTCGTCCAGGATGAAGCTAAGGTGCATCTTCTTGCGCATCGGCATGTTGATCACGTTCTCGACGTCGACGTCGATGGCGGCGGCTGCGGTCGTCGGCCATCTTTATCATACCATCGTCGCTGGCCTCGATCATCTTCATGGGTTCGTAGTTGGTCGACGGAAGCATGAGCATCGAGACCTTGCCCGTCATGGCCACGTTCGCGTCGCCGCCGAGCGCGTCCTCGGCGTGGCTTGCCTTGTACCGACGCGAGTGAAAAATGACGGAGGGTGAAGAACATCAAGTGACGCTGTTTCTATATTTGCTCGGCAAATCGGGCATTCGGATACACGGCCTGAAGTACATTATTTTAATATATCGCTATTTGTATCGAAAGAAGATGGTTTTAAACGCATGACGCGGCGAAGAAAATTACTACTACGTACCCAATAATATCTAAGCTTATTGTTCCGCCGACCAGATAATCGATCTCGTCGCACGTATCCGGATACCGCAGCCGCGCGGTCAAGTCAGAGTTTCTGTAGGCGAGAGGAGAGAACTGCTTGCTTGACTGCTATATGTATAGTAAGGGAAGAAGACCGGTACCGGGTACGACGAATAGCAGCCTCAGATCGAGCTGCTATCCCGAGTCGACGCTCGCAGGTATGCGTGCTCGAACGTGAGATCCGTGGGAATGTTCTGCGGTATTAAAATACAACGTACTAAAAATACAAGTTTCGGTCGCCGGCGCATAGATTAATCATGACGGTAGCATGTCAAGCTATTTTATTTGTGGGTATTTTTATTTTGGGATTTTTCCTATTTCATTGGATTGATTTTATTCGCGAACAACAGGCGAGAAACGCGAAGCCGAGTGAATCGACGAGGCAGTCGGAGGCAGTCAGTCGTTCGCTTCTACTAGCGTCGTCGCAGCGACCAGCTTCATTGGCGCCAACTAATATATCGCCAGTCGGCGCAGTTGCGCCTCTTGTTATATCACAGCCAGCGCACTCACTGCCAGGTGCACCAACATCCCGACGAGATCTCGAAGTGTGTGTGCGGCTTCGGACGGTTTCGTTTCAAACACATTCGACGCTTGCACTCCTCTGTCGGGTGGTCCGAGTACAGGAGCCGGCGTACAACCGTGCTATCCCTTGGCATGGGATCCACCACAGGATGGATATCTGAGCTCACTCCCATCGATCAAGTGCTGGCGCCCACTTCCATGCATTCCGGCGTAGCACGACATATGCAAAGTCTTTGAGTTCGTCGTTTGTGCCAACTTGATTTTAACGCGAACACGTTGGATTGATTGAATGATTGTTGCTCATAATCGAGGCTTGCACATAGCGAGGCGCGTTCGTTGCCGTCATGACGGTCGTCGTGTGAGGCCATTTGAAGCCCTGTTGAGAGCAACGACTCGGTGCCGAGGACTGAGCCCCCAGCTCTCGCGAAGCCCACGTGCGAGGCTTGCTGACTAGCGTTGGCCCAGTGCAGGCGAGCGACCGGAGGAATCGAACAGCTCGCGCAGGTTCCCACTTGGTCCAGGAGCAGCTGCAGACGTGACAATCCTGACCTGCACTCTGCGCCAAGGACTGAGCACCCAGCTGTGACGGAGGACAACAAGAGACCCTTGCACAAGCGATGCTTGCGGGATGCTGATTCCTGTTGGCCCATTTCACTCCTGCTGGTCCATTATGGGTGAGAAGCAGCGTTGTCAAGCGGCTCTTGCTGGCGCAGGCGGCCACGCAGAACCGACTTCGAGCGCTACGAGCGCGACCTGCACTCTGCAATATCCCTCTCCTGACGCAACAATCGGGCGGCAAGATAGTGTATCCGGATTAAACCGGCGCACGTCCCATTTTCAATCTTGCGATCCAGCTCATGGCGCGGACGAAGCAGACGGCGCGGAAGAGCACGGGGGGCAAGGCCCCGCGGAAGCAGCAGAGCGCCATGCCAACGCCCGAGGAACCCTCGCGCATGAAGGACTTGACGGACGAGGAGCGCGAGTCGCGGGATGCGAGCGTCGAGGAAGCGCTCCTCCTCGCGGAATCGAAGGAGGCGGTGCTAGAGGCCATGTCGGCCACCTCGACGGACCGGCGCTACTTTGAGACGATCCTCCGGCTCCATCGCATGGCGACAGCGGCCCTCGATGAGAAGGAGGTCGACGCGGTGCTCGCGGCCGCCAAGTTCCTCGACGACAAGGCGTGTCCTCACCGCGCGACGCGGCTTCGGCATCGTCTGCACCTGCTCCTCCTCGAGCACGACGACGACCGCGCGTATGCGTACATTACGGAGAAGCTCTACCTCAACTTCCATGCGACGGCGCCGGACGCGGTCGCGATCGCGACCAAGGACAACGATGACGGCCCGTCGAGCTCCATCTTGTACGTCTCTTCGATCGATTCCTGTTCTATGCTCATGACATTGGCTTCTTTGGTAGATTTGACGTGCAAGAGGTCATCATGGCCAAGCTCCGCGGCCTCAAGAAGCACATGACACAGACGCACACGGCTGACCTCGAGCTGGACGGCAACGGCGTCTTCACGCTGAGCAACATGAGCGCGCTCACGCGCGAGATCATCTTCCGCGGACTCGTCCGGGGCGACGATGGCGTTAGCTTTTCCGACCAAGAGAAGCAGTGCGTCATCCGCACGATGCTGACGCACCACCAGCTCGCCTGGACGGACTTTCCCGAGTACATCACCGCGGTCGGCGCCAAGCTCCAAGCGGCGGCGTTTTCCGATGAGGCCATCGCGACGGATCTCGCGTCGTTCTCCACGACCCAGTTGGACGCACTCTATGAAGCCCATCGCAACTCACTCGCTCAGAGCACGTCGTTTGCGCTGCGGTACTTGGCCGCGCTCCGCAGCTCGTTCACGGCCAAGACGGACATTGTGCCGTACGTGCAAGCCGCGCTGGCGTCGCTTCAGCGCCTTGGCATCTCGGTCAACGCTCTGCGATTCGTCTTTTGCACCAATGGCTCTGCGCGATCGAGCACGCGCCGACCGACGAAGGTAGCCTCTTCCTCGACTACCTTTCGATCCCGCGCGTCGCTTCGTACGTCAATGAGAGCTTTCTCAAGGCCGCCGAGGTCCAGGACGTCGTCATCTTTGACGCGTACACGACGCAGGTCTATTGCGGCGGCGCGGGCCAAGGGCGGATCCAGCTGCTCGACATGTGCGCGGCCCTGGGCTTTGATGCTATCACGGCCGACAACGACGAGGTATTATTGCCCAACTTTTCTCACATTTTCATCTCATCGCGATGCTGTAGCGTCTCATCAAAGCGTTTCTGACGCACTTGCTGCCGGCTGGCGCAGAAGCGAGCGACTTTGAGCCGTACCTCGAGCCTGTGTTTCTCCAAACGCAGCTCGCTGTTGCGATGTTGAGCTCGGGCAAAGGGTCGCGGGCCGAGTACGAAGCGTACTTGGTTGACTCGGGCGTCGAGCACGACGTCTTTGAGTCGTCCGAGGTGCGTTTTGCAGCGTCCAACCCGGACACGTTTGCCCCGGACGCGCCTGTCTCGCTGCTGCTGCACGTCAAGAACACGGCGTCCATCACGGTGCAGCTCTTCCAGCTCAACGTGGCCGACGGTCTACGCCGGACGTTCGAGGCCATCAAGAGCAACATCTCGCTCGACGGGCTCTTGCCCAACGAAGAGTTCACCGTCCCGTTCGAGCACGTTCCGAGCCACGTGCGCACGGCGCACCGCATCGCGTTCCCGTCGCTCGACGCGACTCGCCGCGGGGTCTTTGTCGTCGAAGTCGTTGGCGCCGACGCTGCGTGCCGAGCGGTGATCCGGAAAGGCCATTTGCACTTTGTGGAGCAGTGCACGGTCTCGGGTCATCAGTTTCGCGCGTTTGACGAAGCCCATGCGCCACTGCGGGACTTTGTCGTGGCGCTGCCCGACCCAGTCAACCGAGCGATCGTCAAGACGTTCAAGGCGATCGACGGCGTGGCCACGGTGCCCTACTACGCCGCGCTCGACGAGACGACCTCAATTCCGACCAAGTACCCCGTGTTTGTGGGCGTCGAGGACTTTGGTGTGCTGGGCGACTTTGCATATCGCGAGGAAGCGTACGTCCTCGAGGCCAAGATTGCGATTGATGCCGAGCAGCTCGTGCCCGGCTTCCGTGCGACCGTGCTTCTTCGTGGTGCCTTGTATGTCAACGGCGCGCTCGCGCCCACGAGTTTGCTCCAAAACACCGTTTTGACGATGGAGACGACGAGCCGGACAGGCACGGTAAACCGCAAGGAGCTCCGGAACCTCGCTCGCTTAAGCGACACGCGCGACCTCTCGCGCGTGATTGAGATTCCGAGTGACGCGATCTCGCTTCAAGTCAAGTTTTCGGGTGACGTGGCCTCGGCGTCTGGATCGACGTCGGCGCGGGCGGCGACACTGCGTCATGTCGAGCATGTGCAGCAGTTTAGCCTCCACGCCAGTACAGGCCACGACAACCAGCTCTTTGGTGTGCACCTCAAGACGATCGAGAAGGCGTTTCTGCTGCTCGTACTTGGCCACAACGGCGAGCCGGTCGCGAAAGCAGCGTTGGCGGTCCGCTTCCAGCACTTGGCGCTCGCCGAGTATGTCGAGCGCGCAGCCGTGTCGAACGAGCACGGCGAAGTGCATCTCGGATCCCTCGACGACATCAAGTCGATCCAAGTGACGACAGCGACGGGCGGGTACTGGACGTGGACCCTACCAGGCATGTCTGACCACTCGATCTGGAGCCGGTTTGTCTCGGCGCCGAACGCCCCGACGCTACACGCCGCCGTAAACGATGTTGTCGTACTGCCAGTGCCAAGTAGCATCCAAACGACCTTGCGCTCATGGCTCGAGCGTGGCTGGATTGCGCTCACGCAGACGCGCAAGAGCCGCAACACGACGTATACGTTGGTGCCCGCACCGGACGCGTGTGCTGTCGTTGTCCAAGACGACGGCTGCCTGGCGCTTTCGGCGTCGGTGGCTGGCTGGTACCAGGTGATGCTCAAGCCTTTTGGTGCTTCTTACAAGGTGCGCATCATGGAGAAACAACTGCTGCCGCCGTCCGAGACACACACGCGGTACCTTGTGCATGGCAACGACACGATCATCGGGACAGCGATCCCGAATCGACCCATGATCATTGCGTCCGTCGCGTCGACGCCGGATGCGATCCGAGTGCAGCTGAGCAATGCGACGCCGGCGACGCGTGTCCACATTGTGTGCAAGCGGTTTCTGGACCACGATGGCTTTGGAAGTGACAGCTACCTTGACATTACGTCGCGCGCGAGCTCCAGTGTCGAGCACACGTCGTCGTACCCGTCGTCGACGTACTTTGCCAGCAAGCGCATTAGCGACGAGTACGCGTACGTTCTTAGCCGCCGGGCGTACGTGAGCGCACACCCAAACTCGGCGCTCTTGCAAGGCTCGGCCCTGCCGCACCCGTCGCTGCTGCTCCACCCGTACGCTGTCGAGGAGACGTCGAGCGGCAACCTCGCCGAGACGAGTCAAGGCGAAGGGTACGCCGCTCAAACGCGCTGCGCCAAGTCGGCCATGCGTCGTGCGATGCCAGGTTGCTTGACCGGTTTATCTTTTGGGGGATCGCGGCGCGCCAACACGTCGTTCCTCGCAGACGGTTCCGTAACCTTTGTCAACGTCCCCGTGAACGACGCGGGTACTGCTGTCGTAGCACTCGATGCCCAAGCGCTGTCTGGGGTGTACGAGGTTGCGGTTATCGCGATTGACGGCGAGGTCACGGCGTCGCGCCATACGAATCTGGACGTCGGCCCGCGTACAGAGCCGCGCTGGAAGATGCCGCTGCGTGACACGCGTCTCTCGAGCGCCGAGGCGCTCGGGACGGAGCCAGGAGCTCACTACCTGCAGTACCGTGGCCACAAGTGCCTCTCACCCGGCGAAAGCCTGCGTCTGGCGCGCACGTCGGCGACAAAAGTCGAGGTCTACGACTCGATCGAGCACGCATTCAGTCTCTTTGACGCCCTCACGTCGCGCAGTGTGCTCTTGAACGCCTTTCTCAAGGCGTGGGGCAGCTACGATACGACCAAGAAGGCAGCGCTCTACAGCGTGAATACGTCGGACGAGCTCAACGTCTTCTTGTACAAGAAGGACCGGGCCTTCTTCCTCGCTGTTGTCGCACCGCACCTCGAGGCCAAACTCGTCAAGTCGTTTGTCGACCATTACGTTCTCGGACACGCCAAGGTGCTGGCGGCGATCGCGGCGTCGCACGTGCAACTGGAGCGCCTGACGTTGATCGAGTTGCTGCTCCTGGCCGAGGCGCTGCCGACGGCTGACGGCATCTGCGACCATGTCGAGCGGCTCATTGAGAGCTACTACGACGACGCGACGACGCTCAAGCTTCCGGCACTCTTTGAGCACGTTCTTGTCGCCAAGAACGACGACGACGCTGTTTTGGTCGACGCTGACGATTCGCACGTCACGTTTGAAGACGAGGTCTTGCCTGGTATTGCTTACGATAGCTGTGCGGTACCGCAGTATTCGCCAACATCGCCCGCGTACTCCCCCACGTCACCGGCCTACGCGCCCACATCGGCGTCGTTTTCGTTTGGTGCCACTCCCGCACAACCCGCGAGTCGCTTTGGCTTTGCACCCTCGGGGGGCAATCCGTTTGGCGCCCCGGCCTCGTCATCTTTCGACACACCAGCGTCGAGCGCCGCGTTGTTCGGTGCGTTCGGTGCATCGTCGTTCAGCGCTGCGCTGCCGCCACCCGCCACCACGTTCCAAGAGAGCCAAAGCGACTCGGACGAGTACGACTTGTGCGACGACGCCTCGGACGACGACGACTGCGACGACAGCGATGACAGCGACGACAACAAGGACGCCGCCGAAACGACCAATGTGGCCGCGCGCAAGATCTACAAGGCGCCTGGTAGCACGAAGAAGCACATTGAGACGCGGTACCACGACGGCACAGAGGCTCGCCAGCTTCGGGGCGGCGGTCTTTTGCCGCCGAGCGTTGCGCTGGCGCATGGTCAATGGAAGCAGAGCGCGATGAACAAGTATTGGCTCGATTATGCGCGCCACCTTCGATCGTCCAAGGCGACACCGTTTGTCTCGGCCTACTTTCCAGAGGCGCACAGCTGCTTTGCCGAAATCATGCTGGCCATGGCGGTGCTGGACCTTCCGCTCAATTCCGTGTCGTCCAGTGCGCAGGTGCTGACCGACGACGCGAGCATTCGTGTGACGGCGGCCGGCGCACATCCGATCATCGTCTTCTATGAGGACTTGGAGAAGCAAGTCGGCGTCGTCGTGTCGGACGCAATTGCCGCGCAGGCCGCCAACCTCATTGTGACGCAGACAGTGTTCAACCCCGTCGACTCGAACGTCTCGAATGGCTTGCTCAAGCCCGTGGCCGAGTTTGTGACACAGACCATGTACGGCTGCCAAGTGACGGTGAGCAACCTGAGCCCGCTCCCGCTGCGGGACGTGCAGCTTTTGCTGCAGATCCCACAGGGCGCGATTCCGCTGCACAGCGACGGCTTCTTCACACGCAGCACGACGTTTGATCTTGGCGGCAACGAGAACGAGATTGTCGTCTACTACTTCTACTTTGCGGCGCCCGGGAGCTTCTCGCACTACCCCGCGCACGTTGCGATCCAAGACACGACCGTGCGCTTTGCCTCGGTAGACGCCTCGCAGCTTGTCGTGACGTCCGAGCGTAAGGCCATCGACACGACGTCGTGGCACGACGTTTCGGCTCGTGGGTCGACGGACGACGTCGTTGCCTTCTTGCGGCAGCACAAGAAGCTCGAGACTCTCGACCTCGATCGCATCACGTGGCGCCTCCAGGACCGCGCTTGCTACGACGCAGTGACGCGCCTCCTCCGCGCGCGCTTCGTCTACAGTCCGGCGGTCTTTCAATACGCAGCGTACCACAAGGACAAGGCCGGTATTGTCGACGTGTTGCAGCGCGCTGTACCCTTTCTGCACGCGACCGGTCCCGGCGTTCCGAGCTGCATTGGCTCTCTCGACGTGCTTGACGGTCCGCTGAGTCTGCAAGCGTGTCTTGAACTGGCCGAGTTTTCGCCCTACATTGTGCGTCGCGTGCACTCGATGGCGTCGGCCAAGAAGCAAAAGACGCCCCTCAACAAGGAGCTCCAAGCGCACTACGAGCGGGTGTGCGCCAAGCTCGCGCTCCTTCCGGCGCTCGGTGACGCCGACTACCTCGTGCTCTCGTACTTTATGATCGTCTTCAACCGCGTCGATACGGCGCTCACGTGCTTTGGCAAGATTGCGCCGAACGCGGTGCCGGCGCTCCAGTACGACTACATGAACGCATACTTGGACTTTTTCCGGTCGAGTGACGAGGCTTCGTACCCACAAGCGCGTGCGGCCAGCGAAAAGTACGCGTCGTACCCGCATCGCCGGTGGCGCGACCTCTTTGCCAATGTGCGGGCGCAGCTGGCGACGCTCGATGCGTTGGTGCACCGGGGTATGGTCGCCGACGCAGCCGCCATTGACGACGTCGGCGTCACCATGACGGTGCACCGCGACCACGTCGAGCTGGTGCAAAAGGGCCACCGCGTCAAGCACGGCCGGTTGCTCTTTTACCCCGTCGACGTCGAAGTCATGTTTTCGACCGAACCGTTTGGCTCCAAGACCGCGCAGGCGTCGACGATCGCGCTCGTGCAGCCGCGGTCGACGGTGTCCGTCGAGCTATCGATCAATACGACGACGGTTGCGATTCCGGACGCGCTCCAGAGTCTCCAGATGATGGTGACGTTTGCGCCGGCGGGGCACCCCGAGTGGGACGTGACGCGGCCGCACTACTGCGACTCGATGGACTTGGACTTTGACGTGGACGGTGGCAAGCTTCAAGTGTTTGCGAGCCACCGGCCGCTGCCTCGTGCGTACGTCAAGGTGTTTGTCCAGACCAAGAGCGGCGGCTCGAAAGGCCGCTTCTACAAGGACGGGTACACGGACATTTGCGGCTGCTTCGACTACATGGGCATCAACGACACCAAGCACCTCCTCCAGCTCAAGGCGCTGTCGCTGCTCGTTCTGCACCCGACGCACGGCGCTGTGGTGCGCCAGCTCCAGCCACCCGAGTCCATCTCGACCGCCGCCGACGCCAAGAAGCACTAGCTTTCCACACTCGCTGTTGTATTTGCTGATAACTTTTGACACAAGTTGCATTTCGATATCTTTTGACCTGGGATCCGTGGCGCACATCCGGATGACGTATTTGGAGGTCGAAGGAAAAACGTGTTGGGAAACGCGCGTTTTTCAAAGCAGCGGCTGGTTTTATGTCGTGGTTCCAGCATTTGATCTATGTTAAAGTATGGACGAGTGCGCAATGGTTTGACCGTGTCACGATGCCGAATAAAACGTGGCTATGGTGTTTTTCACACGTGTGTTTTGTGGTTCCCACAGGTTGCATGGATGCCTCTCGACTGCTGGAGTAAACAGTCGATGTATTGCGAATATATGCATAGCTCGCGACACGGCGCGGTCGAAAGAACGTTGGAACGGCACCAGAACCACAGCTCGCACCGCCCGACGATTGCACTGCGAGCGTCGATCGTGCCACCGCAAATGCCTAAAACACCGTGTAAAAGCAGGTGTAAAACGTTGGTGTGAATCGTCGGATTGCGTGAAAATCGACGCCATTACAACGACGACGGCAGGGACACGTCCATTACGCCAGGTGCTACTGCGGAGCGTGCTGCGACTCACACGTGCGCTTGCCTCCATCAGTCCTTCGAACATTCGATACATTTTAGTTTGTTTATGTGTACCGGTAGCTCTTCCTTGTACAGAGAGGCTCGCTGGCATACCATTGCTTTGCAGCATCACTGTCGCTTTGGTTGATTGCCGTGGTCGATCGTCGTGGCCGGCCATCGCTCCAAGTGACGCCAGGTCCGACCCGGATGGGCCACTGAAGCGAGGAGATCGGCGACAAATTTTCACGCTTGTCCGGATAAGATACATCCATCTTGCCGCCTTTCCAACTCGAATTTTCCACCACAACGGTGTGCGGAACTCACGAGCGTAAATAGTGTTTTTCGAGCAAATGATCGCCGAGACGCCCAAGTAGCTACAAGGGAATGGACTAACCAGCGATCTATGGCTCGATAAAGGGGTACAGCATAACTATTATTCACCCCTGTCCCGATGGAGCCGATGCCAATTGCAGCATGGACGCTCTGGGTTTGCAAGGATTATGATGCGGTATACTAGTAGTTGTTTTCATTTGAAGCCCGCGCGTGGGGAAAGCAAAAGATCCACGCGTCTCGCTTAAGCCTACGCGTTTGACGAGTAACAGAGGACGCTTTGCTCCAGGTGTGAGCAATCAAGTAGCTATCTCGGTCATGCTTGGAATGCGTCCAGTTGAGCACTTGGAGAAGTGCGGGTAATAAGCTGGTCTCTGCCCAAGGGCTCTCGACTTTTGTCAAGGACCGCCAGCCTCGGTAAGCATGCTAATATCATCCATCAGCATTGACTTGTGCGTGTCTTACTCGGCAGCCCACGCACTGATGTGTTGTATTGCTCGGTGTCGTCCTCGGTTTGCTTGAAGTTCGGCCGTCTCGTCGCACACTATTTGGAGTGCACGTGGGAAACGCGGTGTGTGTGGGAAAGGTCTTATCCGGACGGCCCAGTCGGCTATGCGTTGCACACATCTGAAATCGCATCTGGAAAGGAAGATGGTCCGCTTCGTCGAGCTGATGGCGGCCGCGGTGGCCTGCTTCAGCGCCGTCGTCTCTGGCCAGAGTGATTACCCTCTCTGCGGCATCCCGCCGCCCACGTACGAGACTGCGGCGTCGCAGTTCCCCAACTACAAGGCGGCGTTCAACGCGCTCAAGAACGTCACGGTCGCGTCGTGGTACACGGACAACGACGAGAGCGCGTACAAGTCGATGCAGAAGCTCCTGAACAAGTGCGGCGATGACACGCTGCCTGTCATCATCGTCTACGGCCTGCCCAACAAGGATTGCAGCGCCAAGGAGAGTAACCGCGGCGCCAACTCGATTGGCGGCGCCGACGCGTACGCGACGTGGGTCCAGCAGCTCGCCGAACTGGTCGGGCAGCGCCCTGTGCTCTACATTATGGAGCCGGATGCTGTCGGTCTCGCGCTCAAGGAGGACTGCGCCAAGACGAACGGGTACCTCGACAACATGGCCAAGGCGATCCCGGTGCTGACGGAGAACGCCAACTCGCTGCTCTATGTGGACGTGGGCTACTGGATGCTCGAAACCGCGTACAACCAGTCGCTCGTGCAGGAGACGCTCAAGCAGTTTACGTCGACGGGCCGTATCAACGGGATTGCGCTCGGCACGTCCAACTACCGCACCAACGCGGAGATGACGGCGATGTGCGAGAGCTTTGGCGCGCTGACCGAGAACGCGTACCACTGCGTCATTGATACCTCGCGCAACTACCGCGGCCCCAAGGCCGGCACGGCCGAGTGGTGCAACTCGCGCTACGCGGGCATTGGCGTTCCCTCGACCAACAACACGGCCAACGACCTCATCGACTACTTTCTCTGGCTCAAGGTGCCCGGCGAGTCGGACGGCGTCTGCGCGGCGATGGGCCCGGACGCGCTCAAGGGCGGTCCGAACGCCGGCGGCTTTTTCCAGAAGGCGTTTTCGCTCATGTGGGACCGCGGCTACTTTGTGGATGTCATGAAGATGCCCAAGTTTAACGAGTACTCGGACCAGGTCGACTTGCCGTCGGACAGCTCGGGCACGAGCTACCTCGCGCTGGGCATCATCATTGCCGCGTGCATCGTCATCATCATCCTCGGCGTCCTCATCAAGCGCCGGTATGACGCCAAGCAAGGTCGTCGCCGATACGCCGACAACAACGTGGTCGCGGCGCCCCGCACCAACGAAGCAGGCACGCGCAAGCCGTACCTCTCGTTGTAATAACTCGAGAATCGAATTTCATGATCCCATTTTGCCCATTTTTACTCATTTTGCGCGTATATTTTTGGATCCGAGCATGGAGAAGGCCGCGGCCACGCGCCGGCCGAGCCCGCTGCTGCCGCCGACGCCGGTCGCCGCCGTCGCAGTGCAGGGCCACGCGCTCGTGCTCAAGGAGGCGCGCGTCGGCAGCCGGCGCCGGCTCAACCTCGACACGATGATGAGCCGCCGGCCGTACCATGTCGTCTTTGACCTGCTCGTGTCGGACGCGTCGACGAGTCCACCCGAGACCATCCATCGGTCGTACGCCCAGTTCCAGGCGCTGCACCATCAAGTACGTCGTCGCTATCGCATATAAGAACAAAGGTCTTGGATTGTCTCGCGAACTAGCTGCGCAAGAAATACCCGCGGTCGCCGCTCGTGGCCTTGCCCTCGATGAAGCTCGGGCGCTTTGACAGCGCGTACATCCAGCTCAAGTACCCCGTACGCATCCACATGTGCTCTACGATCGAGGGCTCGTGCATGACGCGATGTAGGAGCTCGAGCAATTTCTGCAGCAGCTTTTGAGCCTCGAGTGCATCTCGACGAGCGACCTTCTCAGTCGCTTCTTTCGCGAACCGACGCTCGCTGCGTCAGACGGCAGCGACGACGACGACGTGCTACCGCCCAGCGACGCGACGACCGTCACGATCCGGAAGGGCCAGTCGTACTCAGTCTCGCTCGAGATCCCGACCGCACACGCGGCCGTCGCCTACCAATTCGCCACGCGCAAGCACGACATTGGCTTCTCGATCACGCTCAACGACGACACGCTTCAAGTCTACTCGCGCGAGGCCGCGCTCAAGGGCCTGGTGCGCTGCCCGACCCCCGGGCTCTGCACGCTCACATGGGACAACTCGTACGTCTGGCACCGGTCCAAGGTGGTCACGTACCACGCCGAAGTCGTCGCCATGTCGCCGCGCTCGTAGGATCCTTTCTCTATCCTACCCGACGCATCATGGGCGGTGTAGGCAGTCGCCCAAGCCGCGCAGTGCCGAGACGTCCCGCGTCAGTGACACGAGCGCCGAAACACCCACGGGCTACATTGCGCACGTCCACCGCGCGCCGATTCTGCTGTCGCCGCGGCGCCTCGTGCACACGTCGATGCGCAAGATCATTGGCTGGTCCAAGCCCGAGCCGTGGCTCAAAGCCGGCCCGATGATCATCCAGCGCCGCCATACCAAGCTCAAGCACGCGCTTCTGCACGGCGGCGGCGAGTCGTGGTACCGCAAGTGGTTTACACTCGACGGCAACAATGGCATCCTTCGATGCTACGACAACCAAGCGTCCGTGACACGGTCCGTCGCCTTGCCGTTGCGACCGGTGCGACCGATGACTGTGTGTAGGGAGGGTCCTCAAGGCCGCTTGAAACTGGCGTCGGCCGAAGCCTCGTTGTCGGTCGTCGACGCCCGGCACCTCCATGGCCCGACCCCGTTTGTGTTTACCGTGAGCCGCGGCAAAGTCATTTGGTAGAACGCTGCTACTGGTCGATTCATGACTGGACCTGAGGGTTGGATAGGATTCTGTGCACGGAGAGCGAAGATGACTTTGTGAGCTGGCGCCAAGCCATTTCAAAGTCGATCTTCCTCGTAAGCTGGGCGACGAAACACGACATGGGGACCAAGTCGGACGACGACGACGACGAAGTCAGCGAGAACGACGACGGCGACGACGACGACGATGGCGGCGACGAAGAGACGTCGCTGGTGGCGCCGCTCACCGATGTCCTCCCGACGACATCCCGCGATGTACTGGCGCTAGGCGGCCGCAAAACGAGCACGCTCTACCTGCTTCTTTTGGTTCTCAACGCGATCGTGGGTCTTCTCATGTGGAGCCACTGGATCCTCTTTTGGTCGATCGTCGTTGCCTTCAACGGTATCGTTGTGTACCACGTCTTGTACGAGTCTGACGACGAAGGCAATGCGACCAAGAAGATGCGCTGACGCTTAGTCGAACGCTAAGAGAACATGGACTCGGCCGAGCGAGTACGTGGAATAGAATGCTGTTGCATCATCCTACAACCAGCGTAAACCGATGGCCTCGAGAGCGAGACGATGGGCAGTAGTACCGCTGATAGGCCGTGGCTACCGACGCCTTGGCATCTGCGGTCAGCATCGCCTGCAGTAGCTGGTTCTCGCGCTTCAAAACGATTTCGGGGCGTGTGGCATGCATCTGAGAGAGACTTGTCGTCGTTGGGTCATGAGCACACGGGAGCTCCATGCCGTTGGCATAGGCCTTTGCACCGCGTCATCTCCACGTGCATTCGAGTTGAGGAAGATACATGATGGTTGCGACGAAGCTAGCTTCGTATGAGGCACGCAAGAGGGACGCCATGGCGTACCATTGTCTGGCCCACGAGCGTTTGCTGGTACTCGGTGCGTCCGCACTCGTCGGTAAAAAAGGCGTACAGCGCTGCCAGTACCTCCTTCCCCAAGGTAGCGCTCTCGTGCACGTACAGTACGACCACGTGCTCCAACTACAACATCGCATGAGGCATAGGGCATAGGAGACGTCGCACCAGTTGAGACACGAGACGCCAATCGAGCGACGATGGTGTGCTTGGCGCGAGGATGAGCCGCATGATCGCATGCACCGTGGTCGGGGCCTGCTCCGTGGCCGTTGCCGCCATGTCGTCCCACACGTCGAGAGAAAAGAGGTCTTGGCGAAGGAAGAGGATGTCCCAAAGCAGCGCGCCTAGGCTGGCTTGGGTAGCCGCATGGACCTCCTCGTTGAACGCATCGACAAGCACAAGCAGCAGCGCCTTGGCTACGCGTCGACCGTTCGCCCACATGTAGCGCGGAAGAGTATCGGCTACCGGGTGCATGCGGCGTGTCCAGGAGGATGACTGAGAGGACCTTGGCAGCGCCAAAGCGAAGGATCGGGTCGGCTGCCACCAGCGTCATATTGAGCACGTCAGCGATGCGAATGTCGCCAAGCGGTTCGTGCATGCGCTATCGTTGCATCAAGTCGCCTTGTGAGCTCCATTTAATTCACGAACGAGATGGAGCGACTGCAGGCCGCTGAGCTCCGTGCACATTGCATGCTACATCGATAGAGGTCATGGACGATGACGACGACGATCCAAGGTGCTGTACCAAGACGCCGAGAGCGCTACCAAAGCACCCCATCAGCTTCTCGTCGATAGAGCGGCAGGTAGTACCGTAGGAGAAGCTCTGGGTTCGTGAAGAGATCCATTCCGAGCGCTCGAACGACGAAGCGCGCGCTTCGATGACCGACCCGGAGCAGAAGCTGCGTGCTATGGCGAACGACGTCGACGGGGCTGCCATCGCCTCGGGCAATGGCCCGCGCGACCGTGATGACCCGATCGCGATCGTATGAGCTCATGGTCGAGTAGTCGAGGAGCATCGCCCGACGCAGGAAGAAGCGAACGAACGCGAGGTACGTCAGGCTCTTCCAAGCGTCGAGACCCATGGGCCCAACGACATCGTCGACAACGTCAAGAAGACCCAGCTCATGGACCCTCTTCATGCAGAAGCCGCATGCTCTTCCAGCACTGCACACAGGTTCATGCTTCGTACCTCCATGGTCCCCTCTTCCTCGAGGAGCGTCATGAGCTCCCATTCCTTGCACCGGACCGCGTCCATGCTCAAAGCATCAATGATCCTCGTTATCGGATTATCCGGATAAAGCGTCGATTTGGCTATATCCACGCAACCTTTCAAGCGCGAACGCTCGCAATGGCTTCGAACTGCCGGCATGACTGTGCAGGATCCTCCCTCGCAGGCTCCTCGAGCTTAGCTCGTCAAGCGTGGCCGGCCCTGGCTTCGAGGTGGCTTCATGCCACGTGTAGACCACCCAACACCACGAGATAGACGATCCCTTGGGACGGCACGTAGAGAGCGCGACTGATGCATGGTACTGGTGCGTGGCCGGCAGCATCTTCGCTGCGCCTTGGTCGAGATAAATTCATGACGAGGGCTTCTGCGGGCTTGGGCGAGTTGCTCCATGCTTCCGCAGCAGGACGGTACCGGTCTTCAGTGGAGACGGCGCTGAATTGCTGACGTCGGTCCGGCTGTTCGTTCGTCGTCGATGGCATCGACATGGATGGCGCAGCTGCCTCGTCGGCAGCGCATCGCCGCAGCAGCAAAGATGAGGTATGAGTAGCCCGCGCTGCGCCTCCACGCCGCGTCCTTCTAGAGCTTCAAAAGGAGCAAGGAGCATGGCAGGTGCCTCCTAAACCGCATGTCGCGCAGCCTTTCCCATCGACTGATATTCGATCGGCAACACCGGATGGCAATACACTAGTCACACGCAACTTTGCGTCCATCCTTGGTGGCGTGCCAGACCATTTCGTCGCTTGCGCGTGCATGCGCAGCTCTCTATGATGACTTCACAGGCGCACTCCTCGAAGCGGTACCTCAATACCAGTACTCGAGCAAACCCGCCGACTCTGGAATGGGATGGGAGGTGAGTTGTGTGTTTTTAGACGGAGGGCGAGCGGGCTTGATACAATTTTCAGGATTGCCCATGCTTGTGGTCGGCCATTGAAGGACTCGCTGCCAGCCGTGTAAATGGCCACGTACGGTAGCATCCCGCTCGACGAGACGACGCTCGACGGCGAGCCGCTGCTCAAGAAGGGCCACACGTGCGTCTCGATCCAGGCGCCGGGCGACAACGACATCTTCGTGAGCGACGGCTACGGCTGGGACTATGCGATCGTGTTTCCCAACGTGCCCGTGGACGCGCCCGCCGCCGAGGGCCTCGCGTCCAAGCTCCACGGCGCGATGGCCAACCTCCCGAGCGTCAACCTCGGCGCGCCCATCCACACGCATGTCTTGCCGCACCTGCAAGCGGCGCGCGATGGCATCACGAGTGGCATCTCGGTCGCGCACGAGACCATCGCGACGGGTATCTCGACGGGCATTTCGACCGTCCTCGACACGACCGGCATCGCAACGGTGCTCGGCGCCTTCCGCACGTCCAACGAGCACTTGAGCATCGAAGACATGTGCCATCGCATCCACAAGTCGGGTCTCGAGCTGCGGCTCTTCTACTCGTCCAAGGACGACTCGAGCAACGTCGCGCCGTACATTCTGTGCCAAGTCCGCGCGCCCTTCGCGCTCCTCAAGCACGAAGCCGACCGCATCGACATTTCGCGGCTCATGGACGCCGACGCGCTGCGGGCGACGGCCATGGCCGGGTACCCGGACGCCAACATTGCGCCGTTCCACATTGAAGACACGCTCGGGCAGTACAAGCTCTCGCCGTACGAGTTCATCCACATGACGTACACGGAGCGCCCGGACATGCAGCCTCTCTATGCGCGGGACCCGGCGTCCGGGCAGTTCTTCTCGGGCGCCGAGCGCATCTGCCTCATCGAGAGCATCTTGACGAACGCGAATGGTGGCGGCGCGGGCCTCGACCTCGCCAAGCTTGAAGAAAGCGGTGCGATCGTCGCGGCCTTTCCACTGCACAACCCGGCGGAGAAGGCCGCGCTCTACGAAGCCTGGCTGCACCGGCGCAAGATGTTTACGCAGCCGATCGACCAGATTACGGGCTACTTTGGCCCGAAGATCGGCCTCTACTTTGCCTTTCTCGGGCACTATGCGAGCTGGCTAGTCTCGGCCGGCCTGATTGGCAGCCTCATCTGGGTGCTCGAAGTGCTCAACAACGTACCGCTCTACGATGGGTTGACGCTCTCGCTCGGCGACCACTGGCTCCAAGTGCTCGTCTGTGGCTTTAGCGTCTTTATGGTGCTCTGGTCGACGTGCATGCTTGAGTATTGGAAGCGCTACAACGCGCGGCTCGCGATGCAGTGGGGCACGACCGACTACACGGAGGAGGAGCGGCCGCGACCGCAGTTTCTCGGGACGCTCGTACCGTCGCCGATCACGGGCAAGCCCATCTTGTACTTTGACCGGAAGGAGCAGCGGAAGCGCATGCTGCAGAGCTGGCTCGTGCTGCTGCTGCTCGTGCTCGCCGTCCTTGTGCTCGTCTCGTTCACGTTCTACCTCCGATATTACATGGCGGTGTCGCACAAAGAGACGTTTGCGATCGCGCTAGGTGGCGAGAATGGCACGCGCTTCTACTACGGCGGCACCGCCGCGTCGCTCACGAACGTGATCCAGATTGCGCTCATGGCCGAGATCTACGACCGCGTCTGCATGCGCATGAACGACTTTGAGAACCACGCGACCGAGTCGGCGCACGAAGGCTCGTTCATTCTCAAGAGCATCATCTTTCATTTTGTCAACAACTTTGCCGCGCTCTTTTACATCACGTTCATCAAGTCGAGCCTCGACGACTACTGCGAGAACGGCGACTGCCTCCAAGAGCTCCGGACGACGCTCGTCATCATCTTTGGCACGCAGCTCATTGCGGGCAACATCCAAGAAGTGCTCTTGCCAAGACTCTGTATCTGGCTCGCGCGGTGCCAAGCCCACACGTCGACGAACGCCCAGGTCCATCATCCGGTCGAGCGACAGTTCTTCCTCAACGACTACGGCTGGCGCGGCACGTTCAACGACTACCTCGAGCTCGTGCTGCAGTTTGGCTTTACCGTCCTCTTTGTCGGCGCGTTTCCCGCGACGCCGATCTTCTCGCTCTTGAACAACGTGCTCGAGATCCGCATTGACGCGTACCGGCTCCTCACCGACTACCGCCGCCCGACGCCGCGCCCGGTGGTCAACATGGGCGCGTGGATCACCGTGCTCGACATGCTCGCGACGCTTGCGATCGCAACCAACGGCTACGTCATGGTGTACACGTCGGGCGTCTTCGACAGTCTCGAGGCGTACGACCGCCTCCTCTTCTTTCTGGCTTTCTTTGCGCTCATGCTCTTTGTCCGGTACATCATTTTCGCCTTTATGGAGCGCAACTACTCGATCGAAGTGCGCGCGCAGCTCAAGCGCCAAGCGTTCTTGAGCTCCAAGATCTACGCGCGGGAAGCCGACGACGTCGTGCCCGAGTACGCCCACGACGCCAACTACCGCTTTGAAATCCTCGACGGCAACGTCCTCGGCTAAGCGATCGCGTGAAAATATCTTACCCGTTCGTCCTTGGATCGCAAAGTTTATGCCTGCGTAAAATCACTCACTGTAAGACTGCGTTAACTTCGGTACGACACAGCGAGGCCTCGCATGGTACGGAAATGAGATGGGCGCTGCGTCGTCATGAGAGAATCGCTGCTAGGCCGGACGACCGTTGTGCAGGCTACCTGTGCTACGGATGGCTTTGCGAGTCGGTGGTGGCTCGACAAGGCCAGTGAGCAAAGCCAGGGAGGAAGCGATAGTGCGACGTTAACACAAGGTGCACTTGGTGGTCGCTCGGGTGGCGTCGAGCAGCTGTGAGGTGTGTGTGGGCAATCGCTAGGGGTAGGTGTTCTTGCGTCGGTTTGTGTCCACTTGGCCATGCTTGCGTGCAACGTGAAATGTAGAAGAGTAAACGATAGATAATACGGGTGCTCTGCATCGACTAGGAAATGCTCCAAACATCAATGTCGTCTTCTTCAAACGAAGCGAGAAGGCTTGCGTGCAACCGACCACGGACCGGCGCGGAAGCTGGTGGCGGCGTCGGGCTGGCTTGCATGACCGGTGGCGGGCTCGCTCTCTCTGTCTGCGCGGGCGACGGTAGCGGCGACGGCGTCGACGGAACAAACTCAAATGCACTGGGTTCTTGCTTGACACGACTGGGCGGTGGCAGTGAAGAAGGGAGTACTTCTGCCTTGAGAATGACAGCATCGTCCGATGCGTCGTCGGCGGCGATGGACGGCGTCGATGCAGCGTCCGCGCGAAGCGTTGCTTCTTCCTCGCCAACGACGGTCGGTGGGGCGGGTCGAGACGGCGCCGGGCTCGCAGGATGCCGTGCAGCCGTCTCATCGGCCACAGCAGGGTCTGGCTCCGCGGTTGCCTCTTGCTCGACGTCCGATGCGCGTGTGATTTCAGACGATGCGTGCGGCGTAGGCTCTGGCTTGACATATGCGACGGCGTCGGGCTCCTTTGGCACTGTGGGCACTTGCTCCTCGGTAGCAGCCGCCGCAGCACTCGGTGGCACGGGCGCAACCGTCGTAGGTGCACACGACACCGGCACCGGCGCGTCCGTTGTCGCAGGGTCCAGCGTCGACTCGTCGTGTCCTTGCATGCCGTAAGCTTTATGGAGCAGATTGACGACGACGCTGGGTACAGTAGGACTTGCTCGAAACGTGTGTTCGTACAGCAGCACCCACTTGTCTTTCGAGAGCACGACTAGGGACGCCTTAGACCACATAGACATACTACAAGCAGTCGATACATACCATCAACGAGGGCGCCGCCGCCGACGGGCGATGGCTCGAGAATCGTGTTGAGCATCAATTGCGAGAGACCGTGGGCGACGTGCCCGATCGCATCTCGCATGAAGACGCTGCCGTCGTCGTCCATGGCCAGAATGTCCACCTTCTTGGACGACGAGAGCCGTCGCTGCAGGAACGAGCCAGCAAACCCCCGAGAGAGCGCTGGTCCTGCTTCGGGGGCGAGCACGATGCGGCCGTTCGCAAAGGCGGCGTGCATCTTGGGCTTGGCGTGGTGGCGGACATAGTCGTTCGCAGACGGGCTCACGATGGTGTAGGCGGCGCCGGCGCTGCGCTGGAGACTCAAGTACCACGCGTCGTCGGGCGAGAGTGCCATGTGCGTGATGCAGTGGCCCACAAAACACACTTGACGGATGCGCTCGGTCAACGGGAGCGGCAAGTACTCGCCGAGGATCGTGCTGCATCCACTCAATGGCGTGTGCAGCACAGCGAAGTACCCGCCACGCAGCACGACCTTGAGCTGCCGTCCGGGCGGCACGACCTTGATTGGCGGTGGGACCGGCCGGGCCTTGGACGCAGCTGTTTTTTTCGACCGCCGTGGCGCGGGAGCACAGATGTGGCGCTGCTGGGACACCGACACGAGGGGCTCTTGGCGCGGCTGCGCGACGGCAACCGGTGCCGTCGGCACTGGCAGAGCCGCCGGTGCAACTTGTGCTCTTGGCTCTTCTTTGGTGCGAGTGGTCGGCGGCGACACAATCTCGACGTCCGAGTCGGACGACGGGTCGGGCTTGACCGGCGTTCGTGGCTGCTTGGGTGCGACCGGTGCAACTGCCGCCAGCAACGATGCCGGTCGCGTCGCAAAGAGCCAGCCGGTTGCCCCTTTGTACACGGCGCGAACGAGGCACTGCGACGCCCTCGGTAGGTCGACGACCATGCGACCGACGAGGGTCGTTCCGCGGGGAACGACGGCAATGGGCACCGAGAGCCTACTGTACGCATTGGAAACGAGCTGCGTGGCATCGTCCATCACAAAGGAATGCTGGCCAGGGACGTGCTTGAGGTGCCGCAGACACGCCAGAGGCACCCAGTGCATCGAGTGCTCGAGGCGAACGTACTCGCCGCCCGTCATGTCGTCAACGTGCAAGTCGGTCGAGATGAGACAGCCCGGCGGCAGACGCGCGTCCGTCGGCGTCGGTGCCATCGGATGTCGCGTTACGGGCGCCGGTGCAATGGTCTCGTACACGGCGATGTCGCTAGCTGGCACGACGACCTCGGCGACGTCAACGCCGTCGATGGCTTCGGGAAGGAACATCGGGTCGGTGGCATCGCTCTCGAGCGCCAGAAAGACGGGCGAGTGGACGTCGCCCCGCACGCGCTGCGTCACGACGACGAGTTCGTTGGGCGGTAGCCTCCGGGGCGCACCCGACGGCAGCAAAAGGCGATCGCTTGTCGACGGCGTCCGTGAGAGCACAACACGATCGAGCGTGCGGTAGATAAAGTAGCCTGTTTGCGGCAACGTCGACGTCACCGGCGTCGGAGTGCACGTCGGCGTCGGCATCTTTACACGAGGCATCTTGCCCACGGGTGTTGGCGCGGGTGCGGCCGTGAGGCTTGTTCCAGAGATACCAGCGCGCGCTTGAGGAGCCGACGCGGCTTTGGTCGTGCTCGGCGACGATGCCGGTTTGGCGGTGGCTTGGAGTTGCCTCTGGGCAGGGGACGCGGACGACAGCAGCGACGATGCGTTGCGGACACTGGACGGCGACAGGAACGAGTGCGTCGCGGTCGTTGTTGGCGCCATCGACGGAGCTCGAGCAGAGGTCGCATGGGAGGCCTCGAGTGCCTTGGTCGGGGTCGCGACCGTCGTTTTCACGGGTGTCGTGTCGCGAGCTCCATTTGACCTCGGTTGCGCGGTCGCCGAGACTCGATTTGCGGTCAGCGCGGCCGCCGGTGATGCCACCGGTGTTGCCGACGGTGTTGCTGCTGGTGTAGCAACCGACGACGCCGCCGGTGCTGCGACTGGAGCTGTTGTCGCCTTTGTTACGGGCGTGGCTGCTGGTGTTGCAACTGTTGTCGCTGGAGCCACTGACGGGGTGGCTGCCCGTGTTTCTGCCGGCGTTGGTACTGCTACTGCTGCTGCCGGTGCCGCCGTCGGCTGTGCCGGAGCCGTGGTTGATTTAGAGGTTGCAGCCGCCTTGCCCCGACCTTGCAGTTCTTTTAGAATCGAATCCAACGCACCCGGCGCTGCAACGGGTCGGGACGTAGGCTGCGATGACGGCGCAACATGGGCAGAATCCAGCCGTCGCACTTTGGCTGGCGGTGCGTCGGTCGCAGTAGCGTTGGTGTCGCTGCTGGCTGTCACGACCATCGACGTCGAGGCTTCAAACCAGCCCGTCACACCGGAGTAGGTCGTGCGCACCGCGAGCTTGGTCGCCGACATTGGGACAGCGATCTGTCCGACGACGACGGTCCCCTGGGGTATGACGGTGCTACTGATCACACGGGCGTCTGTCGCAAGGCAATTGCTGAAGAGCATCGTCGCGGCCTGTACGCGAAAGGACGGCTTCGTCGGCGGCGGCGGGACCAGGTCCAGGAACATGGTGCTGACCCAGCTGCCCGAGCTCTCGCTGCGCGCAAAGCCAAATCCGTTGGCGTCGTGCACAAACATGTCGGTTGAAATGATCTCTCCGGGCTGGATCGTGCGCGTCTGCGGCATCGGGGCAAACTTGACGGGCCGGAGCGTCAGACTCGTGACCTTGCGCGCGCGGTAGACGCGGAGCTCGCGCAGCGGCTCGATGCGGACCGCGGTGGGCACGCCAAACTCGGATTCGAAGAGGAAGATGTTGCCCTCGGTGCGCAAGAAGACGTCGTTGCAGCCGGCGCCGCGCTCGCGCCGCGTCACAATGACGAGGTCGTCGGCCGGCATCACAAATGGCTGGCGGTTCGGCAGCATCCCGCGGTGCAGAAACGACGGCAGCGCGCACGCGTGCATGGATCGCAAGCAGCGGTAGATAAAGTACCCGGCCTGCGGCAGCTGCTCGGTGCCCTTGGCCGCAGCTTCGCGGATCGCGTCGCGCAGCGCGAGATTGGGCAGCAGCGCCTTGGACGGCAGCGGCGTCTCGGCCCCGGGCGCTGCCTCGTGCGTCTCGAGCCACTTGGCGATCGCCGCCCGCTCGTACGACCGGCCATCGGCGGCGACGACCGGGTCGACCATGACGCGGTGCGTCAATGGGCACACGAAGGACGTGTGCATGGCCTCGACCCCCAGTATACCAAGTGAGACGTGATTGGCTCCCGTCCATCCGCCGCTCGGTTCTGATTGGCGGAAATTCACTATGGCGCCGGTCCTGCAGGTGAGCTCCAGCTCGTCGCCAACGAGGCAGAAGCGATCGTATTGCCTCGTCTAGTGCTACGATCAGCTTCAAAGGTAGAGATGTCCATCTTTACGTGCGACAAGTACGTCGACCAGTACGCCCAGTCCCCTAGGAGAACTCATTGCCACAACCCTATCCCGCGTTGCAGGGTCGCACACCAAATATGGACTGTTGCCAACCCACTGTAGACCGAGTGTAGGAACAACACAAGAGACACATTGAACGGAGCGGTAGTACATGGACGAGTTGAGTAGACGCAGGCACAGCCCCAAGATCAAGTCGCATCGACGCGCTGGCGGAAGTCGTGTACGAGCTGGCGCCGCTCGTTCCGAACGCGCACGTGGCGGGCGTAGAAGGCTGTCAAATGCGCGCGCAATGTCGGTGGGATGCTTCCTCCGACGCGAAATTTGTGTTCGTGGATCGCCACAAACCGATTGCGGCTCGTCACCGACACTAGTCCATGCCATAAAGAAGCCGCCATGTGTAAGAAGACGCTACCCGAGCACAGGGCGCCGCGTCCGTGGTCCAGCGATGCCGAGAGCACGTTGTCTCGGAACCCGGCGGTGATACCGTCGCCGCAATAGAGGCTCTCGGGGCTCTTGAGGAAGAGACTGCCGTTGCTGCAAAAACCAACGGCCTCGATCGTCTCGACACTTGCGAGCCGCGTCGCGATCGCTGCGGCAACGCCAGCGTAGAGCACCGCGTCTCCGAAACGCGCGAGCATTTCCTTGTTGGGCCCAAACACAACAGTCGCTTTTGGTGGTAGACGGTCCTGGAGAATCGCGGGGACATCCGTGCTGCAGTACGCTCTTGCATTCGTACCATCTCGTGTCTCGGTGCTGAGGTACCACTCGCCCGACGGCCCGATCGCAGCGTGCGTGATGAGCCGGCCCTGGCGCTTGCAGTCCATGAGCCGCTCGACCAGCGTTTCCGGCAGCGAGCCGTGAAACTCTTGGTCGATGGACCCGTCGTCGAGGATATTGTTCATAACGACTACGTGCCACCGCCCTTGCACGATTGCGACGGGAATCTGGCGCCCCGGCGGCCCCTCGGCGAGGCGCGGTGGGCTTGACCAGAGGCGATCCTCTTCGTCAAACGTTGCCCACCCGGTGATACCGTCGTATGTCACTTGCACCACGTACCCATCGGTGAATGGAATGCTGCGCGACGCGGTCACAAGCGCATGAATCGGTAGCGTGACCAGCGGATTCTCGTGCGAGATGCGCGCTTCCGCGTTCGCAAAGAGATCGACTGCGTACGGCGCTCGAAAGAGTAGCTTCTCAACGCTGTACGCCACGCGATGCAGCGACGCAGCGAGGAGCCACGTGGTGGATCCTTCGAGCCGGACGTAGCTGCGCTGCGAGGTAGGGTTGACGACGTGGAGATCGGCCGAGACCATGTCGCCTTCATACGCAGCGTCATGCGTGTTGACAGCGCCGCCCCTTGTCGACGGGCGAAGGTACATGCGCGCATACTGTGTGGCACTATACACGTCGCGCGCATGGCGGACAGGGACGCGGCGCATATCCGCCGTCTCGCGGATGAATTGGTGCTGGAGAGGAGCTTCGTTGGCATCGGCGAGCTGCAAGAAGATGGTGCCCGTCTCGGGCTCTTCGACGCACTGCGCGATAAGGACGAGTTCGTTGGCTGCAATGATGTGGTGAGAGGCTGCGACGCGAGCGTCAAGGGCCGGCGCTGTAAAGAGGGACGTTGACGCGGCGACGTGGTATACAAAGTAGCCCATAGGGGGCGCGGGCCATGGAGGCTCATCGGGTAGCTCCGGTGCGCTGGGTGGTGCTTCGTGAGCTCGAAACTCGGCGATGGCACGCTTGAGCGCATAGTTGGGCGACAGGACGGACGATGTCAATACGCAGTTTGTGACGGGACTCGTTCCGTGGTCGCGCAGCCAGCGGGCGATGGCCGACCGCTCGTACGTGTGGCCGTCGGCCGTCACCACCGGGTCCTCCATGACGTCCTGCGTGATCGGACACACGAACGCTTCCAGCATCTCGATTGCAACTGCTCTGGCCTGCGCTTGCGCACGCTTGAAGTATCAAGTGGCACATCCAGTCCTGCTCTCGATCGCTGATTGGCCCACTCGAAGTGGTACTCAGTACATGCAGCCGCGACGTTGAGGCGCCAATCCCAGATTATTGTGTCGGAGAAGATCGCGAACTTGAGGTGCGTGCCACTCGCACCATCCCACGCGTCAAGGCTTTGCATCGCATGAACGCAACGTAGACGCTACAGACGAGGTGGTCGGTCATGAGCTCTTCCTGGCAAACGTACTACGCGAGGCCGTAGCGACAATTGGAAGCGAACAATGTTTGACACGCACTTGAAACAATATGTTTCTGACGAATCAAATCCAAGTATCGGGCAGATTTATTCAACCGCACTGCTTCACCAAACTGATACCTTGCTACTTGAAGCGTGTGTTGTGATTACTCAAACTCGAATCTCGACCGAAAAACGCACTGTTTTGAGATTTCACGCGAGTCGCTGGGGAGGTCTTCCAGGCGGCCAATTCCTCGTCTGCCCTATTCACTATCGCAGTAGCTCTTGGCTGATGGATTATATGTACTAGGACATCGTTGCAGTACAAAGCTACACCAACACACCTCGGTCCACAACTTGCAGTGCCTGCCCAGCTGCTGGAGCTTCCCCCTCATGGCCACAAGCCGTCACTGCGCGTCGCTCCTTGGCCCACCCAGCAAAAGCTTGCACTCAGGCCTGGCTTGCACTTGTGCTTGCGTACGAGCCGATATGTTCGTACATTTTTGCGCATGTTCAGAGCAGGTGCAATCTGTGCCAAGTCAGCGGCTCGTTCCTCTTCGTCGGATCTTTAAAACCTCTGACATTCGATACCGGCAGTATCCTAAAGCCCCTGCTGTCGCAGTTGGAGTGCGATCGGCTCGCCTCGCGTGTCACGAGAACCTCTATAAACACATACTCTACAGAAACGGGCGCGCCCGTCCCTGCGCAGAAACGCAGAATGCTGGCCTCGTTCATCTGCCCCATCTCGCACGAGGTCATGGCCGACCCGGTCGTCGCCATGGACGGCCACTCGTACGAGCGCCGCTGCATTGCCACGTGGCTGCTCACGCACTTGACGAGCCCCTCGACGAACGCGCCGCTGGCCTCGACGCTACTGCTGCCCAACTTTGCGCTCAAGCAAGCCATCGACGAGTACACAGCGAGCCATGCAGCGCCCCGCGCCCGCGAGGCGCTGCCGCAGGATGGCTACTACATCTACCGTCTCCTCGAGCCCATCCACGTCTGCGCGTCGCCGCAGTTTGCCCATCGCGCCAAGCGGCCCGACGGGTCGCCCTACATCTTGCCCACCGGCGCGCTCGTCATTGCAACCCGCCGCCAGTACGGCCAAGACGACGCCATCTTTCTTCAGATCGAAGCCGGTCGATTCATTTACGAGGCCCGCAGCGGCATTGCCATGGCGGCGCGGGTGACCCCGGTGCCCGGCCTCCGCGTCCACGACGTCCTCGCCGCCACGCCGCTCTACGATGGCCTGGGTCCCACCGCGTCGAGGGTCGGATCCTTGGCGTACGGAGACCTCGTCTCGACCGACTTGCACGTGCACGATCTTCTCGGTGGCTCGTTTGCGCGGCTCGAGGGATCGATGCAATGGGTCTCGACCGCCGAGCTCCTCCGCGTGTTTCCCACCCATGACTGCAACGCCGTAGCGCTGGACGACGCCACGACTCTTGTCTCGAACCCGTCGCCGAGCGTCGGTACGCGCCTCGAGACGCTGCAGAAAGGCCACGTGATTTGCAGTACGATGGTGTTTTCCGCGAATGTGCCCGACGTCTACGTCGTGCGTGCCTCGAGCGGCGACCGTGCTGGCTGGCTCACGGCTTCAAAGGCGCAGTTATCTACGCTAGAGCACGTTGCAGTACCGCGGCTTTCGCTCAATGTGGTCGTCGCTCGTCGCCGATCCCGCGAGGCATACGAAGGCGACGAAGACACGGCCGGTGCCATGCCTCATGCGCTCAAGAGACAATGTGTCTGAGATCACGAGCGATAACTTAATTCAAAATGTGCATAGCTCGAGAAAAAACGCGCGTGGGTTAGCCGTGTTGCAAAGTGGTGGCTTCGTACTGCAAAATGAGCCGGCGTCGCGCCGCGCGCAGTGCCAGGTGGCGCGTGTAAAAGCCCGTCAGCGCCGTCGAGAGGGGCGTCGGGACAGCCGGCGACGCGACGCAGGCGTGCTCGTACACGGCGACATAGTCTTCGCCGCTCAGCGCAACTACAGCCGTCACAAATCACTCGCCAACAAGACACGGGTACGTACCAAGGCGGAGGTCGCCATGGCTCGGCTTGGGTGCGCAGACAACGTCGGTGGCAAACCACGTTGGCATCTTGTCCAGAAGCACCCCGTTGTTCGTCTTGGCAAAGGCCCCGCCGGTGGAATGCAGACTAAAGGTGTACACGCGGCGGGCTTGTGCGAGGTATCGCTCGAGCTCTTGGGGGACGTCGCCACCGACAACCACAGTCATTGCATCGAGGTACACAAAGCTACCGGCATTGCCAAAGGCAGCGCGGCCTGACGACTTCATGGCGTTGCGCAATCGAGCTGGTGCGTTGGCGCTGGCCCAGCACGCAGCGGCTGTAGCACCCTTCTTGGTCGCCGCCACAAACCACGTGTCGTGCGGTCCCAACGCAGCATGCTGGATGCGCCACGAGTCTCGGACGCAGACGGCGAGGAGATCGCAGAGGTCCGTGGGCAGGCCGCCCGCCACAATCACATCGTCTTCCGAGCCATCTTCCTGGACTTCACGCAAGACACCCAGGTACTGCGCGCCACAGAGCGCGATCGTCGACACAAAGTGGCTCGGCGGTTGCTCTGCCAGACGCGGTGGGCATCGAGTATAGAGGTCCCAAGGGCGCACGCAACACCAGCCAGAACCAATGTAGTTCTGCACCCGGCAGTGCAAGTGCCCGTTAAACAGGACATATCCGTGGCACACGAGGAGCGACCCGGCATAGATCTTATTGACGACGACGCTGCCGAGACCGACGAGCGCGTTTCCGAGGACCTCGGCCGCGTCAATGACGTGGCAGAGCCCGCGTGCCGCGTTGAGATTGCACTTGTCCAAGACGTTCTCCGGCACCCAAAACTCGGTGCCTTCGAGACGAACGTACGCTGCCGACGCTGTTTCGACGCAAAGGTCCGTCGACACAAGCGTGTGGCATGGCAACTCGAACGTGGTTGCCTCCTCGGCCGTCGACGTCGGGCGCCGGAACGTCCGTACGCGCGTGGGTCCCGTGCAGTAGACGGCGAGCGTCGTCGTCATCGGAATCGGCACCGCCGTTGGCGCATACAACGCGGCTTGGTGCGCCAGCGGTAGAAAGAGCCCCGCGAGCGGCGCGCCGTTGCTCCGTCCGAGCTTGAGAAAGGCCACGGTCGACGCGTCGTCCGTCATGCGGTCCGTTGCAATCACAAGGTCGTTGGCGGCCACGGTGGCGCGCTCGGCGCTCTGAAACGACGGCGCAGCGTACACTTGCGTGGGCGCAAGCACGCGAAAGACGCAGTAGCCAGCGTCGGGTGTGGCCATGATGGGCAGCGCGCCGGGGTGTCCAAGCGTGCGCCGCGCCTCGTCCGCCGCGACCATCTCAACGTACTCGCAAATGGCTTGCTTGAGCGTATGGTTGGCCACAACGTTGGTCGTTGCAAGGAGGCAGTTGGTCTTGGGACTGCGGTGGCTCTTCTTAAACCACGTTTCGATCGCTGACCGCTCGTAGGTGTGGCCGTCGACGGCCATGACCGGGTCGACCATGACCGCGCACGTGATCGGGCACACAAACGACCGGATCGGGAGCGAGTCGCAAGACATTGAATTGTGTTTGGCCCGTTGACCACCAACGTCCAAGTGGCGGCGACGTCCTTTCTCGGTGTTTCTCCCGTTGGACAATCTACATAGGCTCCGAGACAAGGTGTGGCTTCTCAAGCGCCATTTGTGGAGCGAGGGAGTAGGCAGGTCGTCTTTGCCGATGGGAGATGTTTTTCGACTGGCTGTTGGGACAACGCGCATGGGTAAAAGGACGGGATTTGAATCAATATATATACTTCTGAACGAGTCGCTATGGCTTGTAGGCACTCGTGAGCGCGACGCCGGCCATGGGCGCACATTTGCCGGCAGTAGGGCACTTGTAGACGCCGAGAAACTGGAAGAGGGCGAGGACCTTGTCCCGGCGCAAGGCGTAGTCGTCGTCGTACACAAGTGTGGTCCATGCGTCGTCGGCGTCCGTGGCGACGCCTCGGTGACGCAGCGCTGTCAGCACGAGGCGCCGGTCCTCCGCCGATTGCGCACTGTCGTCGCGTAGAATCTGATTGACGAGCATCTGGTCGAGTACGTCCCGGCTGAAAAGGCAGCGTACGCGCTGACGTACGCGGCGGCGCGGCGGCGCTCGGCGGGCGAGCTGCTTGGTCCAATGAGATGATTGGCAACATGGCCATCTGGGCGATCGCCCTGCACAATGAACGCTGCGCCCAAGTCGACATGCGACGTGATCCGCGTCGTGGCTGGTGCCCGCCGCGCTGGTATGGTCGGATCCCACCACGTGGCGAGCGGTGATGCTGACGGCGAGAGGTAGGAAAGGAAATCCACGGCAAAATGCGAGGGGTCGTCCATGTCGGGTGCGTCCCACGCATTGATACCGAGCGTGCTCAACAAAAGCGCACGGTACATGTTGGACCCGTGGACGCGGAGGTCGTCGGCGCGCTGGCGGTGGTCACTGCCGCCGTTGGCTCGGAGCACGAAGTCGGCGGGCTTGAGAAAGACGGTCTCGAACACACGGTCCCGCCAAGTGCGCATCGCCTTGAGCAAGGGCGCTCGGAGGCGCAGGATGGCTGCCACGACAGCGTCGCTATGTGCCACGGCGTCGTCGTCGGCGGCAACGAGGTCGAGGACCTTTGCGAACGCCTCCATTTTGGCCACGTCGCACATTTTCATGAATTCGGTGACTTCGTACATTGTGATGGCGATCGTCTCGTCGGTTGCACAGCGGTCGGTCAAGTCGCGCAGCGCCGCGACCACGTACTTGCTCCAGCCGTACCGGGCCGCGAATTGCACGAGGCTCCATAAACTCAGAGCGACGTGTCTCGGGAGGTTGCAGCGCGCAGTGAACGCCCACACGACGGCTGTGTGTGTGTTGGGTGGAATCGGCGCCGCCACCAAGCGCGCGTCGAGGCGCTGCATCGCGACAAGGCTGCCGGACCGCTCGAGAATCTCAGGCACGAGCGCAATGGTGTCGAAGGCCGCGCGGTAATCCGGGTGGATCGAGCCCCGCGTGCGGCCCATCCAGTGCTGCGACAGCGTAAAGTTCGTGTACGCACAGAGCTCGGACGGTGGCACATACGGCACCGATGCGGCATCGGCCTCTCGTCCTTGGTCTGCAACGGCAGGCGAGTCGTTCGAGTCGTGCCAGCACGAATGATCGGCCTGGGCATGGTCGCCACTGTGGTCGACTGCGGACGTCGTCGCCTTGCTGTACAGACTGCCCATATTTGGTTGCGGGTGAAAAGGAATACTGGCGGCACAGGCGATGCGAGTGTGCGGGTGACTGGACACTCAGATGCATGTCGTTGATATATTCTGTCCACACAGTTGATACTTTTACCGGTATTTGAGTGGACTTTTCACACGATGTGCTGCGAGATTTGATTGCGCGTGACTTTCTTGGCTGCCCAAATGCATCCACTTGGCGACGCTCGTGGCTGCATGTTGTACGTCATCGAGTTGCATAGTTGATATTCAAAGAGGAATGACACAATCGACATGGAGTTTCACATTGAGCGTTTACGCTATCGCCTGGTAGCGCTGAATGAGTCGTCGGCGGTCGTTGCGGACCTCCAGGTGGCGATTGTAGAACGCAGCCAAAACGTCCGTCACGTCGGTCTGCACCCCGTCCGTCGTTGCAAACCAGTTGTCGTAGATGGCGACATACCTGCCCTCACTGCACGACACTAGACACCCCCACTCCATGAGCTCAGCAATCAGGCGACGACAGCGTACCGGAGACAAGTTGCCCGTGGCCGCGCGGCGGGCTCGCCTCCAAGACCTCTTGTCGGACCACGTCGGAAAAGTCGTGGGTGATGACGCCGTGCGAGTGCTTCATGAAGAAGGGGCCTTTATGTTTTCTACGCGCGTGCACTCTCTGCACGTCGCGGAGTTCGAGGCGTAGGCTGTAGGACACTCCACTCCAATACACAACGTCGTGATCGTCGACGAGGACAAAGGCGTCGGACGGACCGAACGCGACGCGGGAGTTGACCGTCATGACATTTCGAAAGTCCTCCGAGACGTTCTCGCTGGCCCAGCAGTGGGCCCCGGACCCGTCCGGCCTCGTCGCACTTAGGTACCACTCGTCCTTCGGGCCGAGCGCTGCGTGCGTCACGTGCCGGCCTTTTGTAATGCAGTTGTTGATCTGGCGGACCATCGCATACGGCAGATCGCAGTGGAAAGCCTGCGTGATCGTGCCGTCGTCTTGGATTTCGTTGAGCAAAACGAAGTAGTGGTCGCCTTGGAGCAGGGCGACGGGGATCGATCGCCCGGGCGGCTGCTCCGCGAGGCGCGGCGGGCACTGCAGCAGCATGTCCGAGAGACGGAGCTTGCACCAGCCGGTCACGTCATCACGCACGACCCGCGTGTAGGCGAAGGCGTTGAGGTACACGTGCAGCGTTGACGCGAGGAGGTAGTCGGCCGGCAGCGTCGCGACCGCAATGCTCTCGGGCACCGTGCGAATATTGCGGTACACGTGCGTCGGCGACGGCACGCGGAAGAGCAAGCGCCGGGTCGTGCACTCGTAGCGCGTCAAGTGGCGCAGCGGCAGCCACCCGAACGAGTTGTCGAGCCGCAGATACGTTTGGTTGGTCACAGGGTCCGCCACGCGCAAGTCGGTGGCCACGAGCTCGTCGCGACGAAGCATCGTGTGGCGTACGAGGGCCGAGTCGCTGTGGGTCGTTGGTCGCGCGTAGAACGGCGACGGCCGGTCGGCCATGTACACGGCGACCTCGTGTATCGCTGGGACGCGCTCAACCAAGCGGGCGTGCGGCGGCCGCTCCGCCTGCTCGGCGACGTAGCAGTTGCGCAACTCGACGTCGTTGTGGGTCCCGAGCTGCAAGAAGACGTAGCCGGTCGTGTTGCCAAACATGGCGCTGTAGAGCCGCTTGGTCACGACAAAGAGCTCGCCGGCCGGGAGCTCGAGGGCGGTGCCATGCGCGCTCGAGACGCGGTAGTTGAACGATGGCTGAGAGTAGATGGCCAGTGTCACGTTCGCGCGGTAGACGTCGTAGCCGACCTGCGGCAGCGCTTCGGTCCGCGGCAAGTCGACGGGCGCGAGAGCCAGCGCCGGTGGCACGACGACCGCCAGCCGAGAGGGTGATCGCAGCGGGCCTGCCGGCGAGCCTGGCAATACGTTGTGTTTGTTGCGGTACTCGCCAATCGATCGCTTCAGCGCGAGGTTCGGGATGAGCTGGGTCGAACCCAGCGGTAGGTTCGTCGCTGGGCTCGTCACTTGGCCGCCGGGCGCCGTCTCGTGACTGGTGCGGATCCACTCTTCGATGGCCGACCGCTCGTACGAGTGGCCGTCGACGGTCACGACCGGGTCGACCATCACGTCGTGCGTGATCGGGCACACGAACGAGTCGAGGTGGCGGGTCATACTGCTCCGACTGCCTTTTCTTGCAGGCTGTCCACCCACCATATGGTTGGTTTTAAACATTGTTAAGAACACCGTAGGTTGAAATCGTAAACACGTTTTTTGTATGATTGGATCGTGTGTTTCATACAGTGCGTTGGTGCAACTTCTCTGTGACGTGGCAGCCTGCCACGGAGTCTATCGTCGCACCGGCCTCGCGACCACAGCGTTGAGAGGAGCCTGCATGTTCAACATAGAACTTAGCACAAACATCCTGTCTATAGGAACTCCAAAAAAATGACGACGAGTAAAGCAGAGACAACCAACTGCGCAGGACGTTCACCGTCTCAGAGGACATAATTGTGTACCCCTGCACCGACTGTCCAACCACTCCAACGCCACCAGTCTTGCTTGCCACAGGGAGCCACAGTCCACGCAAAAAAGCAAGGTACCATATAAGCGGCTTCGTATTTAAAAAATCTCGATATATAGCAAACACACTAGCTGGTTATGGCGCTCACATAAGCTCCGTAACGCTGGGAGAGTCGGCGGCGGTCGTTGCGGACCGTCATGCAGCCACGTCAAAACGCTGGATGTACGTACTTAAACTGTCGCCACCCTTTCCCCATGGTCGTGTGCATATACTAAACATGCTTTGGCACTCGCAAGAAGTCGACCGGCTATTCAACCAACGCAACGCCACCTGTCTAGCTTGGTAATGCAGGGAGACAAATGCAGAGCCTATCTGCAGGGTACACTACACGCGCATTCGTTTTGTGAAAACTTGACCGAGCAGACACGACGCGCTTGCTCGTTGTGGCGCTTACAGAAGCCTACAGCAATGCTTGGTAACGCTGGATGAGTCGGCGGCGGTCATTGCGGATGTTGACATGGCGATCGTAAAAGTCATACAAAGCGTCGCTCATGTCATCGGACAAACCGTCCGTCGTGTCACACCAATGCTCGTGGATGGCCACGTAGTCACCGGCCCATTTCGAAACTACAGATCACATTTGTGAGGATGATGGACGATTCTTCCATACCTGAAACAAGCGGTCCATAGCCGCGCTCCGGCTTTGCAACGAGAATATCGTTTTCAAACGACGAGTCAATGTTGTCCGTGTCGGCGCCGCCCGAATGCTTGACGAAGAAGCCGTTGTTTTCGTCAAAGCCAAACGTGTGGACCTTGCGCGCGTTGTTCAAAGCGTTTTTCATTTCGACGCTCAAGCCGTACGTAGCCACGCGGCCGTCGTCGTCGGCTACGAGCGCGAAGCTGCCGTGATGGCCAAAGGCGACGCGGCAGTCGATCGACATCGATTCATTAAAGGCATCCGAGACGTTCTTGCTGGCCCAGCAGTGGGCACCGGACCCGTCGGGCTTGGTGCCGCTAATGTACCACTCGTCATTCGGCCCGAGGGCTGCGTGCGTCACGTGCCGGCCTTTCGCAATGCAATTCTTGATCTGGCGCTCCATGCCAAGCGGGAGACGGTCGTACTTGATGTTTTGCACGATCGAGCCGTCGTCTTGGATCTCGTTGAGCACGAGGAGGTAGCTATTGCCTCGAACGATCGCGACTGGAATCGACCGACCGGCGGCTTGCTCGGCCAGGCGCGGCGGACACTGCGGAAGGACGTCCGACTGCTTGAAAGAGCACCAACCGACGGCATCGTCGTACGAGATGCGCGCATACAAGCCGCCGTTGCTTGTGGTGACGTGGCAGATTGTTGCGACGAGAATGTTGGCGGGCAACGTCGCCAGACCGATGCTGTTAGACCACGTGTAGGCGTTGCGGCGCAAGATCATCGGCGTCGACACCTTGATGACGGTGCGGGTCGTGTTTGCAGTGTGTGGCTGCAAGCAACGCAGCGGCAGCCACACGGGGCCGTTCTCAAGGCGGATAAAGACGTGGTACGTCACGGGGTCTTGCACGCGCAGGTCGGACGCGACGAGACGGTTGACTTGCAGCGTGTCGTCTTGCCCAAAGACGCAGCGGTCGCTGCTCGCAGGGCGCCAAAAGATCCGCGAGGCGGTAGTAGCAATGTACGTCTTGAGCTCTGGCGTTATCGTCGCGCGCACCACCCCGGCAGCGTACGGCGCGTGCTCTTGCTGCTCGCAGATGTAGCAATTGCGCAGCGCAGGCTCGTTGGTGGCCGCCAGGAGCAAAAAAATGTGGTTGGACGTTGTGCCGTAGACGCGCTCGGTCACGACGACGAGCTCGCCAGCGGGGACCGTGACGTCATGCCCATTCGGCGTGCGGTGGGAATGGCCAAACGATGGCTGCGAGTAGACTGCGAGCGCCACGTTCGCGCGGTAGACAAAGTAGCCAACCTCTGGCAGCGCCTCGGTCCGCAGCAAAGGCGGAATGACCGCGACCGGAGAGACGATCCGTGTAACGGGCGAAGCTCGGCGAGGCGACGAGCGACCGCTGCGGTACTCTTCGATGGCTCCCCTGAGTGCAAGGTTCCGGATGAGCTAGGTCGAGTGCAGGGGAAGGTTCGTCGCGGGGCTAGTCACTGGGCGGCGGGTCTCGCGCCTGGTGCGGATCCACTCTTGGATGGCCGCGCGCTCATACGAGTGACCGTCGACGGTCACGACCGGGCTGTCCATGACGTCCTGCGTGATCGGACAGATGAAAGAGTCGAGGTGGGGGCGGTCCATTCGACCCGCCACTGGCGGATCATGCTGCTGTCGTCTTGAGGTTCCGATGGCCATCCGTAGCAGGCTCTCAGAGTCTGGCTTAGAGTCTGCCCCATTTTTTACCGTCCGCTGACCAGCGGATCGTTCATGCCACGTGTTGTGTTTTAAACACGAATTTGCTTGTATTTTTCCTCCATCGGAAGTGCCTCTTGTCCTCTTTTACTAGTATGCAGCATTATACTGCCTAAGGGCAACAACTCGCGTCTTCAAGTACCGATTTGCTGTGGACTATCGATGTACAATTGTAAAGCATCCAGATCGCGGTCAAATGGACCTGATTGGTGGGATGACGATCTTGAAACGTCTTTTGGCGCCAACAAAAACTAATTAGACGCGGATTCTGTTCAAAACACCTCGTCGTCCCTCGGAACGTTTGAAAGCAAAAGCGATACAGTCTTTCCGATGCCAAGAATTCATTCGACAAGACACTCAGTTCCACACACACCCTTGACAAAAAGACAGCTATGCCGTATAAAGTTACGATGCCAGCGTCGCATTGGTTCGCATTGACGCCTACGCCAGCTCATGATAGCGCTGGATGAGTCGCCGCCGGTCGTTGCGGACGTCGAGGTGACGGTTGTAAAACTCTCCGAGCGCGTCGACCATGTCCTCGGGCCCATCGTTCGTCGCAAACCAATGCTCGTAGATGACCACGTAGTCGTGGGCCCACTTGGACGCTATCACCATCCATTACAAAGGTATGTCGACGCCATGACATACCTGACACGAGCGCACCGTTGCCACGCTCGGGCGTTGCCGCCAAAACATCGCTTTTGAACCAGTGTGGAATGTTGTCTGCGTGGACACCGCCCGAATGCTTGACGAAGAAGCCGTTGTTCCGATCAAAGCCAAACGTGTGGATTTTGCGCGCGTTGAACAAGGCTTCCTCGAGAGCGTAGCTCAATCCACGTGCCTCGGCCGCGTCGTCGACGTCGTCGACGAGCGCAAATCTGCCGTTGCGTCCAAAGGCGACGCGGCAGTTGATCGACATTTGCTCCAGAAAGGCATCCGAGACGTTCTCGCTGGCCCAGCAGTGGGCACCGGACCCGTCGGGCTTGGTGCCGCTAATGTACCACTCGTCATTCGGGCCGAGCGCTGCGTGCGTCACGTGCCGGCCTTTTGCAATGCAGTTGTTGATCTGGCGCTCCATGTCCGGAGGAAGCCAGTCGTACTCGATGTTTTGCTCGATCGAGCCGTCGTCTTGGACCTCGTTGAGCACGAGGAGGTAGCTATTGCCTCGAACGATCGCGACTGGAATTGACCGGCCGGCGGCTTGCTCGGCCAGGCGCGGCGGACACTGCGGAAGGATGTCCGACTGCCTGAGACAGCACCAACCGACGGCATCGTCGTACGAGATGCGCGCGTACAGGCTGCCGTTGCTTGCGGCGACGTACATCGTTGTTGCGACGAGGTGGTTCACAGGCAGCGTTGCCAGAACAGTGCTGTGCGGCCATGTGTAGATGTTGCGGTACAAGTTCGTCGGCGTTGACACCTTGATGATGGTGCGGGTCGTGTTCGCAGTGTATAGCCGCAAGCAGCGCAGTGGCAGCCACATGGTGCAGTTGTCGAGCCGGATAAAGACGTCGTGCGTCACGGGGTCTCGCACGCGCAGGTCCGATGCCACAAAGTTGTTGGCTTGGAGCAACTCGTTGGGCGTGAAGAGGGAGCTGCGGCTGGTTGTGGGGCGGCAGTAAAACAGCGATACTTCGGTCGCAGCGTACGTTGCACGCTCTGGTGTCGTCGTCGCGCGTACTGCCACGGCAGTGTACGGCGCGTGCTCTTGCTGCTCGCAGATGTAGCGATTGCTCAGCGCAGATTCGTTGGTGGCCGCCAGGAGCAAGAAGACATGGTTGGACGCGGTGCCGTAGACGCGCTTGGTCACGACGACGAGCTCGCCAGCGGGCAGCGTCACGGCGTTGCCATTCGACCGGCTGCGCACGGGAGGGCCAAACGACGGCCGTGAGTAGACTGCGAGCGCCACGTTCGCGCGGTAGACAAAGAAGCCGACCTCTGGCAGCGCCTCCGTCCGCCGCAAAGGCGGAGCGACCGCGACTGCAGAGACGGCCCGTGCAACGGGCGAAGCGCCGCGAGACGACGGCCGCTCGTTGCGGTACTCTTCGATGGACCGCTTGAGCGCGAGGTTCGGGATGAGCTGCAGCGAGCGCAGCGGTAGGTTCGTCGCTGGGCTCGTCACTTGGCCGCCGGGCGCCGTCTCGCGACTGGTGCGGATCCACTCTGCGATGGCCGACCGCTCGTACGAGTGGCCATCCATCGTCACGACCGGGTCAGCCATGACGTCGTGCGTGATCGGGCACACGAACGAGTCGAGGTGGCGGGTCATGCTGCTGTCACTTTGCTCTTTGAGGTCCATCGGCAACAGACTGCTCGTTACACACCATGTGTTGAGTGTGTTTTAAACACCATGTGGCGATGGCCGCAGGTCAAAGGATCCTTGGTGCACGTGCAGCGGCGTACAAGCTCAGTGAGGCCACTCGCTCGCGTCTTCATTTGTGTCTTCTTGTACATATACGTCTCAATGAGAATTATGTCCAAGGCGGTGAGCCCGACGTTTGAAATATGGCGGAATGACGATCTTGGAGATGAGCGAAATCTTGATGCTGCTACAGTATCCATCGATGGAGCGCTTCTATCCACGGTCTGCACGAACCTTGAAGTGGTGTCAACGCCAGAGCAAAACAAGCTCGAACTTGAAGAGTTCACGGCGTATTTAAACACTTGTTTCGAGTCGTTGTCGCTGTCGAAACGAAGACTTTGCCTTTGTAGAGGTCTCTCTCGTTCTCATCCGCTGGCCAGGCCGTGGCGGCGCGGGGGCATATTATCTTGCCCTTCAAATCCGTAACCTTCAATCGTCGCCCGGGGCGCCGGCCACGAATAAGGCCCATATGCCAACGCACTCGATGTCACGCGATGCAAACAAAAAGACAATGCATTGCAAATGCAACGTGTCGGTGGCGCCTACTCGAGTTCTTGGTAGCGCTGAATGAGCCGCCGCCGGTCGTTGCGCATCTTCGTGTGGCGTTGGTAGAACGCTTTGAGTGCATTCGTCACGGACGCTGGCACGTCGTTCGACGTCGTGAACCAATGCTCGTAGATGGCCACGTAGCTGCCCTCCCAGTACGACGCTATTGTTTTTTCATAAGTCACTCTCACACGTAGTACTCTTAACGCGCGTACCAGAGACGAGCGGACCGTACCCGCGCGGCGGCTTGGCCGCCAAAATGTCGTCTTCAAACCAGTGGGCAATGTTGTTGGTGTCGACGCCGTCCGCATGCTTGAGGAAAAAACCGTTGTCTTCGTCAAAGCCAAACGTGTGGATCTTGCGCGCGTTGTCGAAAGCTTCCTCCATATCGTACGGCAAGCCAGACGAGGCCACGCGACCGTCGTCGTCGTCCAGAAGCGCAAAGGCGTCGTAGCGTCCATACGCGACGCGGCAGTTGATCGCCATTTGCTCAAGAAACTCTTCGGAGACGTTCTTGCTGGCCCAGCAGTGGGCACCGGACCCATCGGGCTTGGTGCCACTAAGGTACCACTCGGCGTTGGGGCCAATGGCCGCGTGCGTCACGTGCCGGCCTTTCGCCATGCAGTTGTCGATCTGGCGGTCCATCGAGCTCGGAACGTTGCAGACGAAGCGCTGCGAGGTCGACCCGTCTTCTTGGACTTCGTTGAGCGCAAGCAGATAGTAGTTGCCTTGGAGGATAGCAACAGGGATCGATCGACCGGGCGCGTGCTCGGCCACGCGCGGTGGGCATCGATAGAGGATGTCCGACTGCTCGAGACAGCACCAGCCGATAACATCGTCGTACGAAATGCGCGCGAACAGGGCGCCGTTGTTTCTGGTGACGTGGCAGATTGTCGCGACGAGGTGGTTGGCCGGCAAGGTCGCGAGAACGGTGCTGTGCGGCCACGTGTAGATGTTGCGGTACACGTTCGTCGGCGTTGAGACCTTGATGATGGTGCGGGTCGTAATCGCTCGGCGCGGCCGCAAGCAGCGCAGCGGCAACCACGCGCCGCAGTTCTCGAGCCGGATAAAGACGTCGTGCGTCACGGGGTCTTGCACGCGCAGGTCGGACGCCACGAGTTCGTTGACCGCCAGCATATCACTGCGCGTGAAGAGGCAGCGGTGGCTGGTCGCGGGGCGACAAAAGAACAACGACGCCTCGGTCGCAGCGTACGTCTTGAGCTCCGGTGTCGTCGTCGCACGTACTGCGACGGCCGTGTACGGCGCGTGCTCTTGCTGCTCGCAGATGTAGCGATTGCTAAGATCAGATTCGTTGCTGTCCGCCAGGAGCAAAAAAATGTGGTTGGACGCCGTGCCATAGACGCGCTTGGTCACGACGACGAGCTCGCCAGCGGGCAGCGTCACGGCGTTGCCATTCGACCAGCTGCGCACGGGAGGGCCAAACGACGGCCGTGAGTAGACTGCGAGCGCCACGTTCGCGCGGTAGACAAAGAAGCCGACCTCTGGCAGCGCCTCCGTCCGCCGCAAAGGCGGAGCGACCGCGACCGCAGAGACGGCCCGTGCAACGGGCGAAGCACCGCGAGACGACGACCGCTCGTTGCGGTACTCTTCGATGGACCGCTTGAGCGCGAGGTTCGGGATGAGCTGCAGCGAGCGCAGCGGTAGGTTCGTCGCCGGGCTCGTCACTTGGCCGCCGGGCGCCGTCTCGCGACTGGTGCGGATCCACTCTGCGATGGCCGACCGCTCGTACGAGTGGCCATCGACAGTCACGACCGGGTCGACCATCACGTCCTGCGTGATCGGGCACACGAACGAGTCGAGGTGGCGGGTCATGCTGCTTGTTGTCGCGCGCTTCTAATCTGCAGTCTCCAGAAGTGCCCAGATGGCCACTGTTTCAAACAAGGTCCCTTGGTTTCAAACACCAATCCATCTGTTTTCTGTTTAATACACATTCCGCTCCACGACGTGACTACAATTGTAGCGTGGTGGTTCCAACTTCGTGCACGAACGGAGCAGAAACCCACGTGCGCCAAAGGCAGCGCTGTGTATCGCACCGGCATGCGACCGCATCGTCGAGACAGCGCACCCACGGTGTGCTAATCAACAGTGCGGAAGAGGCGTCGTAGACAATGATTTTAAACGCTGTCCCCAAGATAGTATTTGCACCGAATCCAGTGTACTCGACCAACACCCTTGGACAATAACATATCTACTGTGGTGTCTTCATGTGAGCACGACAGGTAGTTCGCCGCCAACATGACGATCGCAGTGGTTTGGGTCTATTCTAGCGCTTCGCCAGCCTTAAGAACAGCGTGTTAATGCACTTTGACAGCTTTCTCGCAGGCCGTACCAAACCGCCAAGCATGCGACCTTTGATAGTTGACGCTTCCCCAGCTCCGTGCGTCATACCCTACGCCTCTCTATCGTCTTGTGGCGCCGCCGACTCGTGCTTGCACCTGCTGCTGCCACGTTCAAATCGAGCGGTTCCGGATTCGAAAAAGGAGCCAATCACCGGCGTGCATGGTGTGTTCTTATTTTGTCTTACCTTGTAAACGACCGTTGGGGATGCTCCTATTTGTATGTAAAGATAAGAGGTGCATTGAAATCGCATCCAGCAACTCCACAAGCCAATTCATTTTGCGTCGCTGCTGCAACATGTCCAAGAAGGCAAAGGTCGAGCCGCCGACAGCGATTCCGACCGCGCTCCTCTGCTCGGTCGTCGGCTACGTGGAGTCGCAGGAGGACGCGACGGCCTTGCTCGTGGCGCTACCGCCGGCCGAGCTCGGCGCGCCGCTGGCCGCGCTCCGCGAGCTCATGACGACGCCCATGGCCTTTGACGACCAGTGGCCGACGGTGGACATGATCAACATCTCGGAAGAGAACTTGGATCTCGTCATGGCCGCGCTGCCCGCGATCCCAGGTTTGCTTCTGCCACCACGACGCAATGTGCACGAATGCCACCTTCCGGCGCTCCTCGCCGCCTTGCCGTCCAAACTTGAGGCGGTCCGCCTGTATGACAAGGAGTGGTTTGACATGCACGAGTTCAGAGACGTCATCCCCTTGTGCACACGTCTCAAGGACGTCGAACTTGTCATGTCTCATGGCGAAGCGACGTTGCTGCCGCCCAGCGTCCGCTTGCTGGGGCTATACAACGACGCCGACGACTTGCTGCTCGACCCTCTGGCGCAGTGCCTCCAGACAGGGCGCATCACAGACCTTGGCCTCCACGACTTCAACTCGGCAACAAGCGCAGACGCCATTGCGGCGATGCTCGCGGCGGCCACGTCCATCACACGGCTGGATTTGGAAAACTCGGAAGCGGTCGTCGATGCGCTCATTGCCGCGCGCAGACCTCTGCACCACTTGAAGGCGGTGCAGTTCTTTGTGGACACTCAACTCTTGCGCGGCGACATCCGTGACTTCATGGCACTACTCGATGTCTCCAACCTTACGCACCTCAACGCCGGCGGCTTGGACGACTGGAACTGCCTCCTTCCGTGTCTCAGTCAGATGCCGCTCCTCGAAGAGCTGACGCTGCAGTTTGGCGACCTCACGTTGGCACCGGGCGCGCTCATGGCCACTCTGCTGCCGAGCTTGAAGGTGCTGACCGTGCACTGCGTGTCGATGGACGCTGCCAGTTTCGAGACTTTTCTTCTCTGGGCGTCCAACCTGCCCAACTTGGCCAAAGTGCATTGGTTCGACATGGACGCCATTCCGGTCGCGTCGTTGGGCCTCTTCCTGCATGTCATTGGTTTGTGGACGCACCGCCTCTCGGTTGTGTCGCTTCGCTCGTGCGACTTCAGCGGACATCACGTCTACCGGTACGAGACGCTGGGGCTCTTGCTCTCGACGCGACCCGAGACGGCGCCCCCACTTTCACTCGACCTCAAGGCCACTTTTCTCAACCCCGATACCCTCCGCATCACCGACGTCATGGCGCTTCTGGACGCACTGGACGTTCGCCCGGACATCACGCTCGAATTGAGTGCCAATGCGGACGACGAGGCAGCCATTGCGGCCTATGCAGACTCGAAGCACATCAGCATGAAGGTCCTCGAGCGTCCCGGCCGTTCCGATCCTCTCCACTGCCGCTTCGGCGCGCGCTAGATCGTTCTCTAGCTCTCTTTTTTATATGCACGTTAACAGTGAAGCTCATCTTTGTTGCAACCCATTTCGTCTATAACATATGCACAAGTGGCTTGAACACCGAGATTCTCACGATGATTCTTCCAATTGTCGACTGTGAGCGCCACGTTCGCGCGGTAGACAAAGAAGCCGACCTCTGGCAGCGCCTCCGTCCGCCGCAAAAGCGGAACTACCGCAGACATGGCCCGTGCAACGGGCGAAGCGCCACGAGACGATGGCCGCTCGTTGCGGTGACTCTTCGATCGACCGCTTGGGCGCGAGGTTCGGGATGAGCTGCAGCGAGCGCAGAGGTAGGTTCGTCTTCGGGCTCGTGACTGGGCGGCCAGGCATCCCTCGCGACTGGCACTCTGCGATGGCCGACCGCTCGTACGAGTGGCCGTCGACAGTCACAACCGGGTCGACCATGACGTCGTGCGTGATCGGGCAGATGAACGAGTCGAGGTGGCGGGTCATCCTCGTGCTTGCGTCGTTGCGGCTTGCTTCGAGTCTGCCGCCACTCGGCAGACAGATGACGACTGTTTCAAACACTAGTCCATATGTTTGCTACATCTGTTTAATACACTGTTCGCCTCTGGCCCGCTCCACGACGCTAGCGTGAGCGTGCTGGTTCCGTGCTCGAACGAAAAAGCAAATTTTGATTCGTTTGGTTTGGTTAGCGTTCGACAACCTTTCAACTGTTTCAACAGTTCAACTCGGATCTGCAATCGAGGGATTTTGCACAGCGTGGCATCCAGGATTTTTTGACGCTCAAAATTCTAGAAAATGCCATGATGAACAGTTTTTAAACACGTTACATAAACATTCCTCCACTTTGACGTTTGCCATTGCCATGCATGTCCAACGCGTCATACTCGTGGCTCGCTCTCAGGCAATGAGCTCGTCGTAATCCTCGATGAGCTGGCGGCGGTCGTTGCGCAATCGGTGGTGGCGGCTGTAAAACGCAGAGAGCGCATCAAACATCTCCCTCGGCACGTCGTTGGTCGCGCAGAACCCGTGCTCGTAGATGGCCACATACTCCTCGAGGCAGAGCGACACTAGACACAGACGGCGATTATTACGAAAAGCCGGCGCAGTGCGTACGCCAGAGAAGCGACCCGTAGCCGCGCGGCGGCCGAGCTTCCAACACATCGTCTCGGACCCATCTCGGCACGTTCTGCATCACGACACCATTCGTGTGCTTGAGAAAAAAGCCCGAGCTCCCGTTGAAGCCGAGCGTGATGACGTCCGGGTCGTCGTTGAGGACGTCGGCCGTCTTAAAGTTGAGTCCTTCACAGTAGTACGCCGCGTTGTCCTTGTCCAAGAGGAGGAACCGGCCCTTGTTGCCGAACGCAACGAGGCACTCGGGCGTCATCTCGGTTTCAAACTCATATGGAACGTCGTCGCTTGCGATGCACTTGCCATACGAGCCGCCGGGGACGGCGCTGCTGAGGTACCACTGGCCGTCCGGGCCAAGCGCTGCGTGCGTGAGGTGCCGGCCCGCCTGAATGCAGGCGTTGACCGCTTCCGCCATTCGATCCGGGAGGAAGAAGAAGACTTGTTGGCGGACGCCACCGTGGGCTTGGACTTCGTTGAGTGCGAGGAGGAAATAGTCGCCTTGATGGAGAGCGACGGGTATGCCCTTCCCCGCAGCCTCCTCGGCAAGCGGCGAGGGTCGGTGCCGGATGACGTCGCTTTTATCGACCTTGATCCAGCCGGCGACGCAACCGATTAACACGCGGGCAAAACATGCATTGCCGAGCGTGAGGTGGGTGGAAGACGCTATGCTTTGACGAGCCGGTAGTGTCTCGAGCACTTGACTTGCCGGCGTCGAGTACATGTTGCGGTATACGGGCACAGCCGTGTTTGGACAAAGGAGGATGCGCTGCATGCTCACAGCGCGCGGTGCGAGGCGAGCGACGGGCAGCCACAACGAGCAGTTGTCGAGGCGCACATACTCGGCGCGTGTGACAGGATCCTGCACGCGCAGGTCCGTCGCCACGGCCGTGTTGGCCGGTGCGCTCGGCTGCGTTGAGAGGCAGTGGCGATTGGTCGTCGGGAGAAGAAAAAGTCGGCGGTTTGCGTCGTGACGTAAGCCGCGAGCTCGCGCGTGAGCGTCGCCTCCATGACCAAAGCAGTGTACGGAGCCGACACGGCCTGCGCGAGGACGTACAGGCCGCGGAGGCTCTCGTCGCCGCTGCCCTCAAGCCGCAAGAAGACGTGGTTCGAGCCAACGGCATAGCGACGCTCGGACACGAAGAACATCTCGTGGACAGCCAGCGCGCGCGGCAAGTGGGCGCTGCGCACCGACGGCTCCCGGTACAAATTGAGACGCTGCAGCGCGCGGTAGGCAAAGTGGCCACTTTGTGGCAGCGGCGCAGCGTCGCGCGTAGCTCCGGCACAGATTCCACGTCAAAGTCCCGTGGTATGATCACGTTGAACCGGTAGCGCTTGGCCGGCCGCTCGTCAAGCTCGCTCTTGTACTCGGCAATGGCCTTCTTGAGCGCAAGGTTCGGGATGAGCACCGTCGAGCGCAGGGGCAGGTTGGTTAACGGGCTTGTCGCCACGCCGTCCCGTGACGCATCTTGGCTGCTTCGGATCCAGCGCACGATGGCCGACCGCTCGTACGAGTGGCCATCCATCGTCACGACCGGGTCGACCATCACCTCCTGCGTGATCGGGCACAGGTACGCGCTCGGCGGTGCCATCTTGCTCGTCGTCTCGTCAAGCCAAAATGCATTTGCCGTATCCGTATCCGGTAAACGACCGTCAAGATTCAACCGGTCCGGATCGGGAATCCACTCACTTGTCAATCCGATGAGCGCGAATCGACTAACTTCATCGCAGATTCTGAGCGCATCGCGCCCTTCGTTTCCTCAGGCGATATGATGACATGCATGGGAAGGATATCTCAAATCTACAGCAGACAGTTCCATTCGGCGACCAGTTTGCAGGCAGGGTCGATGACGTTGTGACAATATCGCACTCGTCTGATGTCCAAAACTATTGAACTGCAACGAGACAGAGATTGGCATGCATTCATGCAAAAGAGGATTATACGTATAGGAGCCACTGTGTGTGTACCGACCTACTTGACGTCGTTGGATGAAAAGATGCTCGTGGCACTGGACGGCCTTGATGTTACCGACAACGACGCCAACGTGTCGATGCGACGTCACGAGACGAGTGCTTTTCCAATATGGTCGAGCGGCTCGACGGCGCTTGTTGCGCGGAATGGGCAGCCCACTGCGCATCTCGACGTGTTGTCTCCAGGACGAGCGATGTCAAGAACGAGCACGCGACGCAGAGCTCCGTCGCGTAGAGCTGAATGAACGCTGCGCCTCATACGATGTCTTCGACATATAGGTCACCGACGACAAATTGGCTGTCGTTGAATTGATACAAATGGCTGCGTTTTCCAAATGAAGAAAACGACGCGGTTTGGTTAGCGTCCTCTCGAGATGCATCTGGTCATGGGATGCTGGCACGACCGTTAGCGTGCCGTTGAATATCCGGACAGCAGAAGCGCGCGAAGTAGCTTTGACAGTTGAATATCCGGACAGCGGAAGCACGCGGAGACGGCTGTCATGGCAACTTGCCTTGGCAAGGCCGTCCTCTAGGTCTAGTACCATGGGGCCTCATGGGAAGCAGGAAACGGAGAGTGTCGTCAACTAGTGAACCACCTCCGAGCGGCGCTATCTAATCCTATCTAATTTATGACTTCATGTCATCCGATTGTCAACCAGAAAGTTCCTACCAGTACCAGCTCACCCCGCAAGGGACCTCTTATTTTGTACTACGAGTACCTTGCTCTTTTTAAGTAAAAGATACGCCGTGTATTTAAATCGCATCCTCCAAAAGCCATTTTGCGACGCTGCAGCAACATGTCCAAGAAGGCAAAGGTCGAGCCGCCGACGGCGCTTCCGACTGCGCTCCTCTGCTCGGTCGTCGGCTACGTGGAGTCGCAGGAGGACGCGACGGGCTTGCTCGTGGCGCTACCGCCGGCCGAGCTCGGCGCGCCGCTGGCCGCGCTTCGCGAGCTCATGACGACGCCCATGGCCTTTGACGGTCAGTGGCCGACGGTGGACATGGGCACCATCTCGGAAGAGAACTTGCATCTCGTCGTGGACGCGCTGCCCGCGATCCCAGGTTTGCTTCTGCCACCACGACGCAGTGTGCACGAACGCCACCTTCCGGCGCTCCTCGCCGCCTTACCATCCAAACTTGAGGCGGTCAGTTGTTTTCTCGACAAGGAGTGGCTTGACATGCCCGAGTTCAGAGTCGTCATCCCCTTGTGCACACGTCTCAAGGACGTCGAACTTGGCATGTCTCATCTCGAAGCGACGTTGCTGCCGCCGAGCGTCCACAAGTTGACGGTTTTCCTTGCCCCAGGCATGAACGACCCTCCGTTCGACCCACTGGCGCAGTGCCTCCAGACAGGGCACGTCACAGACCTTGGCCTCAACGACTTCAACTCGGCAACAAGCGCAGACGCCATTGCGGCGATGCTCGCGACAACCACGTCCGTCACGAACCTGGAATTGAAAAACTCGGAAGCGGTCATCGATGCGCTCATTGCCGCGCGCAGACCTCTGCACCACTTGAAGGCGGTGCAGCTCGATCTGGACACTCGACTCTTGCGCGGCGACATTCGTGACTTCATGGCACTCCTCGATGTCTCCAACCTCACGCACCTCGACGCCGGAGGCTTGAACGACTTCAACTGCCTCCTTCCGTTCCTCAGTCCGATGCCGCTCCTCGAAGAGCTGGCGCTGCGGTTGGGCAAGCTCACGTTGGCACCGGACGCGCTCATGGCCACTCCGCTGCCGAGCTTGAAGGTGCTGACCGTGCAGCGCGTGTCGATGGACGCTGCCAGTTTCGAGACTTTTCTTCTCTGGGCGTCCAACCTGCCCAACTTGGCCAAAGTGCATTGGTTCGACATGGACCGCATTCCGGTCGCGTCGTTGGGCCTCTTCCTGCATGTCATTGGTTTGTGGACGCACCGCCTCTCGGTTGTGTCGCTTCGCTCGTGCAACTTCAGCGGACATCACGACTACCGGTATGAGACGCTGGGTCTCTTGCTCTCGACGCGACCCGTGACAGCGCCCCCACTTTTACTCGACCTCAAGGCCACTTTTCTCAACCGCGATACCCTCCGCGTCACCGACGTCATGGCACTTCTGGACGCACTGGACGTTCGCCCGGACATCACGCTCCAATTGAATGTCAATGCCGACGACGAGGCAGCCATTGCGGCCTATGCAGACTCGAAGCACATCAGCATGGAGATCCTCGCGCGTCCCAACCCACTGGGTACCCCCAACCCACTCGAGCCTCTCGACTGCCGCTTTTACGCGTGCTAGAACGGTTTCTAGCACTCTTTTCTATGCTCGTTAACAACAAAGCTGTGTTGCAACCAATTTCGTCGATAACATTTGCACAAGTGGCTGAGACACTGAGATTCTCGCGATGATTTTCAAATTGTCGATTTCTTGGCGCCACCGACGGTGCAAGACATCAAGCAACCCTCCAAACACACAAGAGAAAGTTATTGCGGTCACTCACTACATGTACCAAACGTCAAGACGACGTCAGTACGACACAAACCAACCTTTGAAGGTGCCAAGGACGCAGTGCCAAGTGTAAGGGTATCGCACTAACCTCCTCCGTGGCAATTGGTCGGCAGAAGAAAAAGTCAGCGGCTTGCGTCGTGACGTAAATCGCAAGCTCGCGCGTGAGTGTCGGAACAAAGCAGTGTACGGGGCCGTCACGACCTGCGCGAGGACGTACAAGCCGCGGAGACTCTCGTCGCCGTTGCTCTCAAGCCGCAAGAAGACGTGGGTCGAGCCGACAGCATAGCGACGCTCGGACACAAACATGCGCTGGGATTGGACAGTTTGTAGCGAGCCAATGGGACGTTGCGCTTGCGTCGAGCAACCAATCAAATCAATGAAAAGGCTCAGCATTCTGCCAATCAGAGTGACGTGATTCGATCTTTGCCGCAAGAGGTGTGGTCCGGCGTCGCCAGTCAACTCCAGGGGTAACCAATGGCACCTTTTTACCCTTGATCATCGCAACCAACTCGAGCACCTCGCAAAGACAATTCGTGTTTCCTCCTCCACGCTGCGCGGTTCAGCTTCCATCAAAAGACAACAGAGAGGCGACGTCCAGTATATAGAGTTCTTACGACGTTGCACAAACAATCTCAGAGGGAGAGAATGACCTCAAACCTTAGAACGTACTCATACAGTCGCAACAAGCCACCTCGGATGTATCGAACAGAATCTATGCTCGCAGGTCTGGAAGCTGCCTGCGCAGCCACGGCCCGGCGAGCGATCAATCAATCAATCCAACGTGTTCGCGTTAAAATCAAAGAAGCAAAAACGAACTCAGAGACCTCGCATACGTAGTGCCACGCCTGAATGCGTCGGAGTTGGCACCAACACTTAGTCGTTGGGAGTGAGCCGGCGAGCGAGCGAATGAAAAGGAAGGAGATTGCTGGTCTCTACGTAGGCGAACTCTTTAAAGCAACGAAGATAACGCGAAACACGTTCATACACATATGTAGGTCTGGACGGCACTATTAGTGCATGTCTTCAACGCAAGGCTTCTTGTAGTTGACCTCAACGCCCATCCACTCATTCTCGAGAGCCGCGCATGCGTCCGTGTGCACCTTGCCCCATTCTTATCATCACCATCATCATTCGACGTTGTGTTGATCAGTTGCGACGACCCAAGTAGATCCAAACCAGGGGTCCCAGCACAGACAAGAACTGCACCGCATCCAAGCAAGAATGGACCCAAACACATGACCATATATTTCGATCGACTTCGGCTGCATGAAGAGGCGTCGTGCAGCACCACCCCATCTCGTCGGACGTGTTACGCCGTCGTCGTTGTCGTCGCGAGGGAGTTGTAGCGCCTGATGAGCTGGCGGCGCTCGTTGCGCATGCGCTGGTGGCGGCGGTAAAAGTCCTCCAGTGCGTCATTCATGGTCTGCGGCACATTGCCCGTCGACATGAACGAGTTTTCAAAAATCTTGATGTGCTCGCCATTCGAGTAGATCACTACACACACACAACACGCGATCAGACACTTGGTTTGTGTGATTGAGACAGAGTACAGGCAACGAGCCGGCCATAGCGTTTGGGCGGCGGCGGGTCCAGCACGTCGTACTCAAAGAACTCTGACATGTGGGCCATGTACCCGCCCTTTGTGTCGTGGATGAAGCAGCCATACTCGCCCGAGAGGCCAAACGACACGAACGGACGCGCGGTCGCCGTCGCCAGCCGGTCGCGAAACGGAATCGGAACGCCGGCGGAGTAGACGGTGGTGCCGTCGTCGCAGACGTACGCGCCATACTTGCCAAAGGCGACGCGGCAGTTGACGCCCATGACGTTCCGGAAGGCGACCGGGGCGTTGTTGCTGGCCCACGCACAGCCGCCGGTGCCGTCGGGCTTGGTGCCACTAATGTACCACTCGGCGTTGGGGCCGAGGGCCGCGTGCGTCACGTGCCGGCCCTTCGCCGTGCAATTCTCAATCTGGCGCGCCATCGTGTGGGGAAGACTAAACTTGATGCTCTGCTGGATCGACCCGTCGCTCTGCAATTGGTTGAGCACGACGAGGAAGTACGAGCCTTGCAAGATCACGACCGGAATGTAGAGCCCCGCAGACTTCTCGGCGAGGCGCAGCGGGCAGCTGGGGAGGAAGTCGTCCGGTCGAAGCGTGCACCAGCCCGAGACGTCGCCGGTTGTGACGTTGGCGTAGCAGACACCGGCGACCGTGGTCTGCTGGCCCGAGACCGCCAGCGCCCCGGGCCGGAGAACCGTTGTTTCGTCGCTTCCAGAGATGAGATTGCGGCGCAGCGAGAGGTTCGTCGTGGCGCGGACCACGAGCCGTGTCGTCCGAAGCGTCACTTGCGTCAAGAGTGCGCTCGGGACCCAGAGCGTCGAGTTGTCGAGGCGCACGAACTCGATGCGCGTGACCGGATCACGCACGTGGAGGTTCGCTGCGAGGAGCGTGTCGACGGCAACGCTTCGGTCCGTCAGCGCAAGGACGCCGGCGGTGCTGGTCGTCGGCCGAAAGTACCGGAGGGTTGTGGCATGCGCGCGGTACACGGCCACCTCCTTGGTGACAATCGCCTGGATGGCCGTCGGCGCGTACGGCGGGTACCGACCTTGCTCGAGGATGTACAAGCCTTGAAGCGTCGGCTCGTTCTCGGTACTCAGCTTCAAAAAGATGTGGTTCGAGTCGCGGCCGTACTCGCGCTGCGAAACGACGACGAGCTCGCCTGCCGGGAGGACGAGCCGCTCCCGGTTCGGGCCCACCGCCGGGTCGTACAGCGACGGGTGCTTGAAGAGATCGAGGTTGCCTTCGGTGCGGTAGACAAAGTAACCGATCTCGGGCAGCGCTTGGTCGCGCGTGAGCACGTGCGTGGCTTGGCGCACCGACCGGGTCGCCACGTCCGGCGACAAGGCGCGCCGCCGCGACGCCTCGTTGGAGCGCGACCGAGCAGGCGAAGCGTGCGCACTGCGGTGCTCGTCAATCGCCTTCTTGAGCGCGACGTTGGGCAGAAGCGCACGGGAGGGCAGGCGCTGGTTCGTCGCCGGGCTCGTGTCATGGTCCGTGAGCCAGCGCTCGATGGCCGCCCGCTCGTACGACTGGCCGTCGGCCGTCACGACCGGGTCCGTCATGACCTCATGCGTGATGGCGCACGTAAAGGCGTCGAGTGGCGTCGCCATGGTCTGGTGTCCGTTGAGAAAACGTCTTTTTTGTTTTCCCGCATTTTCGAAAAAGACCGTCCTTTTGGCGCTCTAAATAGTGTTATCGTAAGATCCCCGCAGCAGCACCGACGAGATGTCGAATGTTTGAGGGTGCCAGTCGGTATGGATTGCATATCGTAGCGCATTGGTAGAGGCTCTGCAGCAAGTGCAATGGTTGACGCGTTCGATTCGTGGCCTGGTGTCGTGCGATGACGTGGCGGCGCGAGCGAGCAACTTACGATTGGAGGAGTGGCAAGAAAGGTGCAACATTTCTTTTGGCCAATGGGATAGCCTCTTTCACCGATCCTTGGGTAACCGGATGTCAAGTGCAGCATTGGTCCGTTGCTGGAAATGGTCATCAAAGCGGGCTCGACAAAGATGGCGGCGGACGCCGATGCAGCAGGAGCTGGCCTCCGCGCCGACCCCGTGGCGCGCATCAACCGAACGATCGACAAGTCCTCCCAACGAGTCAATGTTCACTACGGCCTGCAAGCACAAGCCGTTGCCGCTTCAACTCCGAGCAACGCGAATACGCATATCGGGCTTGATGGAAGAGTATTCCCGTCCTATTATTGCGTACTAGTACCCTGGACCATAATATGACCCTTGGCTTGACGGTTCTGAGAGTGTGAGCTCCTTCAAGCCGACATTGGTTCATACACTATTTCTCCATAAAATACACCTTCCGACGGATGTTTTAAAATGTTTTAAACACGTGGTAGGATCTGGATTCAACATTTGCCTGGTATGAGCGACCAGCACCTCTCGGTGCTTGACGGTGGCATCTGCGTTGCGTACCTCGTGTCGGTGCTGGTCGTCGGCGCCGCGGCCACGTACGCGTCCCGGCGCAAGGACGAGACAATCAACGACTACTACCTCGGCGGGCGCCGGCTGCCGTGGTGGGCGCTCGCGATCGCCGACGTGTCGAGCTACATTGACATTGCGGGCACGATGATCAACACGGCCTTGATCTACGCGCTCGGCGTGCGGGGCATGTACATTGAGGTACGCGGTGGGCTCTGTCTCTTCCTCGCCTTCCAGCTCGCGTTCACGGGCAAGCTCGTGCGCCGCTGCCCCGTGCGCACCAAAGGCGAATGGTTCAAATACCTCGGTTCCATCACCGCTTGCTGACCCTCGGATAGGATCTTGTACCGATTCGGCGACTCACTCTCGGGCCAAGTCGCGCGGACGCTCATCGCCATCGTCTCGCTCCTCGGCGGCGTCATGGGCACCACGTACTTTGCGATCGGAGGCGGCAAGTTTGTCACGGAATTCGTGCCACTCCCGTCGTGGCTTAACCTCCCGCCCGAGTTCTGGGCTGCGGGCGGCCTCATGCTCGTCGCGGTCGCCTACACGATCATCGCTGGCTTCACCTCCATGGTGCTCACGGACGTGTACCAGTCGGTCTTCATCTTTGGGTCGTTCCTCCTCGTCTCGATCCTCGGGCTGCAAGTGTCTTTGCCGGCGACATTTCACGTCTACCTTCCCACGAACGCCACTTCAACGTTCCTCAACTACACGGTCACGCGCGAAGCGTGGGCGTCGGCGCTCGGGGCCATGGACCTTCATCTGCCGGCCGGATCGACCTTCAGTATGTACAATACCTTCACGCCCATCGTCTTGCTCTACCTGAGTCTGCTCTGCTTTCGGTCGGCGTCGGGCCCCGGCGGTATCTCATTCATCGATCTCGCGAAGCGATGTTGAAGCTGGCTCTAGGCGGCGGCCTCCAAACCGTGCTCGCGACCAAGACGGAGCGCGAAGTGCGGTCGCAGACCTTTCTGGCGATGGTGCTGCTCCTCCTTCGGTGGGACTTCACGGGCGCGGTCTGTGTCCTCGCCATCTCGTACTCGGCGGACCATCCGCACGTGATCATCGACCCCGAGCGAGTCGTGCCGTTTGTGCTTGCGAACGTGCTGCCGTCGGGTCTCCAAGGCGTCGTCCTTGCATCGCTTCTCGCCGCCGCCTTGACCACGTTCGACTCGACGATCAACAGCGCATCGTCCTACTGGACGATCGACATTTACCAAGCCTTGCTGCGCCCGGACGCTTCGACGAACGAGCTATTGTGGCACGCCCGCTTGGCAACGATGTGCGTGCTTCTCGCTGGATGGGGCGCGTCGCTGTACATCCACACGATCAACCGCATCTGGGGGTTCGCACTGCTCTCCGTTTCGGATGGGATATGCTCATGGGGTTAGGTTTATGGTGGTCGCCTTGAGTGGTGGCATGGTCGTCCCCAACTTTCTCGGCTGGTACTGGGCGCGCTTCAACGCCGTCGGCTACGCGTCTGGCATGCTCTCCGGTGTCATCACCGCCGTCGTCGTCTTCTTGTATGCGATGACGCGACCTTGACCCACGGGCTGCAACCTGGTGCTAATAGTGGATTCCCACACGTGGCCGAGTACGAGTGCTTTCTCTGGTCGTCGAGTATCTCGGGCGTCGTGGCCTTGATCGCCTGCCTCGCAACGCCACCGACCAACGCACGGACACTTCGCATCTTTTACAAGAACGTGCGTCCGCCTGGCTTGTGGACCAAGGTTCGTACTTGACAGTTCCAGGTCATGGAGCTCCTCCAATCTGTAGCTCGCCGAAACGTGCTTGGAGGAGGACGAGCGCCAGCGCACAACCAAAGAAAACCGACTAGATCTCGCGTGCACGGGACTCATTTTGTTTGCGCAAATCGCCACGTATGTGCTTGCGGTCAGCGTCGTCGTCAAGGCGTGGGCTCAGTGCCTCGTGCTCCTCGGGTGCCTGAGCCTTGTCGCACCACTCATCTACACGCAGTGGTTTCTCAAGCTCGACACGACTCTCTCGCCCACCCGTGAGCGTCTCCTGCATCAAGGCGACTAGCTCCAGCCCATCGTAATGCCCGAGTAAAAGTAGAGCTTTGTATTGGACTTGCGTATCGCTCAGACGTTGCGCGGGTCTTCGCCGGGGTTGGGAATGCGCTTGATCTCGAAATCGTCGGTCTTGAGCTTGTGCATGATTTTCTAGCCATTTCGTTCGCAGCACCATGAGCCTCCGGCGATGGGAAAAGCCACATTACCCGGTGCTCCTCGTCGAGGTTGAACGCGCGCTCGCTCTGGCTCTTGACCATCATGTCGCGGCGCTCAAACTTGCCGCCGACAAAGTTCTGGAGGCCGGCGAACCCGCCGACGACAAAGATGACGAACGGCAGCCCGACGCGGGCAAACGTGTTGGACGACTTGCGGCGGGCCATTCTGGCGGATGTTTTATGAAGCCTGTCTCTGCTGCACTTTCTACTGTCTAGCAACACGCATCTTAAATGTCTTATTTGACATTGGGCGGGGCGTTTTTAGCGCAAAAGTGGCGTGTAAATAGTGCGTCAAGAATGCTAGGAGCAAGTGCCAAGTGGGAAAGAACGCTCCGCCAGTGAACAACAACTTGCGACCGATGCGCCTCCACGTCGGACAATACGCAGCCCTGCTGACAGCCAGCATTGCCTCTCTCCTCGCGGGCTCCACGACCATGCACATGATCCTCAAGCCCGACCTCGTACGTCTTCTTCCTCCTCGCCACCATCACCATAATGCTAACGCGGTCTGTGGCAGACGATTCCGGAACTGCCGGCGGACAAGACCAAGCTATGAGCGTAGGAGGATGCTCGCATCAATCCTGGTGTGATATCCCTTCTTTGTTTTTATATGCTACATGGAGGCTATTCTACTGCTACGGTGTTGGCTACGAGACGATGCTGGCGTGGGGCGGCGGGAACCCAGCGGCGTGCGGGTGGGTGTACTCGCGCACGGGCGACGGGTGGTGCCAGTACGACGACGGCGGCGCTGCGACGTTATACCGGTGGACGTGGCAGTAGCCGCGCATGCACATGCCACACGGCGGCTCGGAAAAGTACCGCACAACGCGCTGCGTCATGAGGAACTCGGGGTGGAGCCACTCGGGCGCGAGCGCTTCTTGCCGCTCAAAGTCCCAGCCAAACTGCGCGGCCGTGCGCTGGTAGATGGCCGAGAGGTGCATGTCGAGCTCCAAATCCCGCTCGTACACTTCGTCGTCATCGACGTCACTGCCATAGTCGCGGTCGTCGGCGTCCGGCGTCACATGCACGATGAACGCGTCAAACTTGCGCTTGAGCGGGACGACCGGTCGACTCACGGGCTGGAACGCCACGGCCTTGGGGTTCAAGCGCGATGCCCGGGCTTTCGTCGGCGAAATCGACGGCTCGGCGTGCGCCGGCGAGGATGGACTTGACGTCGGCGGCGACGCGTCGTAGCCATCCACGACTGTGTGGACGTCGACGGGCGGCAGTGGCACGGGCAGTGTCGCAGCACCCAACGTGGTATCGGCGGTATCTTGCGGTATCCTGTCGTCAAGGGGTGCCACGGCCAGTGGTGGGATGGACGCCGTCGATGTCGCTGATGCCGCCTTCTTGCGCTTCTTCTTCTTCTTGGTCTTGTGCATGGGCGGCGCAGTTGAAGAGGACGACGTGGCGAGGTCTTCCTCGAGCAAGAGCGCTTCCATTTGCCGCAGCGACTCGCGCTCAAGGTACGCGACGAAGCTCTTGAGAATGAGCTAGCAACATCGATGCGTCAATGATGCTGTGCCATGGTAGGAACAATGGAATACCTGCTCGAGGAGGATCGCGACCAAGTGCTGGTACTCGTCCCATGTGCTAATGGCCTCGCTGTCGCGGAAGAAGAGCTGCTGGAAGTCGCCGTCGCTGAGCACATACGTGTGCGCGAGGAAGCCCCGGAGATTCTCTTGCACGAGCGCAAAGAGCGTGTCGACCTTGTCGTCCTGGACGAGCTCGTTCTTGACCGTCATGATGCCCGTGCCAATGTCCATGAACTCCATGGCCTCGAGCAGCTCGTACGTTGGCTCGTCGCTGCCACCCGCCTCGTCGGCCTTCTTCTTCTTGAGGCGGCGCTGCACGAGGCCGACGCAGAGGAGGCTAAAGTTGAGCTTATACAGCTGCTTGACGAGCTCGGCTTCGTCGAGGAAGAGGACGCTTTGGCGCTCGGTGGCCGAGAGGCAGCGCCAGTAGGCTTGGACGCGCGGTGGGATCGCGGCCTGCCGCTCCTGCTTCATGTAGCGTGCCCACACGGACGCCGCAGCGATGGGCATGCTCGAGGATTTGACCGACTGGTGACGACAACCAAGCCACGTCGATGTAAAGTCCGCTTTGCAAGCGGAAATTCGAACGCCGTTTAGCTTGCTGTTTGTATGACAAGCCATAAGTACGCCTCCTTCCAGAACCTGCAAGCTTCTATAATTTATCCGGACAAATCTACGGATACGCTGCGACAGTGCAACATGGCGCCAGAAATGCTACAGCCGACGTAACGTTGCTGCTACTCGAGGGACTTCCGAGGATCCGACGACAACGACCGATGACACAGCCGCTCGCGCGACTCTGGCGGCCGTTCCTTCGGTGGATGCAATAATCCGTAACCAGTAATAGCTAGGAGCTATTACTAGTATACTATTAGTGCGAACCTGCAGAGTCGATGGTGGATGGAGACGATGATGCGTGCGGCCAGGTGCGATACAGCCGGGATGGGTAGACGCAGGGTAGACGGGGAGAGCTGACGAGGCGAGTACCAGTACAGTAGCAATGTCGACTTCAAGAAGCTACGGTTCTCAGTCTGCAGCTATCGTCTGCTTGTACAGCTCCAGGAGCTAGCGCCAGGGGATGCCAGCCCGCAGCGAAGACTGAGATGCAGGCGGATATCGCGGGCGAGATGCGTCGATGCTTGCCAGGAACGACTGAGCCATTGAGACCGAGCCATACTATATTGATGGAGGCACTTCAACCGACAATGTGGTACGCGCCGTGCCCATCGCACTCGTTTGCGCCCACCGCCAATGGCTCCGAAGGGAGAAGGGTCTTTCTTGGGTCCAACTCACTTCGTTTCGACCCACGTCAACAAGCGATCGCCGTTGAGGATTTCGGCGCAACATTGGCAGCTGCCAACCCCATGCGACGGCGTGGAACCGACCGAGCGCGCAGGAGAGGCTTGCTGTAGGCCCTTGACAATCGGCATGGGATGCAGCCACCATGATGCCGGCGATTGAAAGAACCAGCGCCACCGTCGACACGGCCAGTGACCGCCTGAGCATGAGGGCTTTACAGGGCTTGGCTAGGAAGGAGCTAGACGGCCTTCGGACGACCTCAGCTCGCGATATTCTTGGTAGAGAACGCATGCATTGTGATATTAGTTGATGTTGTGCAAAGGGTGGTTGACACGACCGACCTTGTTGCCGGTCTGCGTCTCGTTGTAGATGATGATGTTCTTGCGCATTTCGGCGGCAGCGCTAATCTTATCCACGGGGGCGTGCTTGCGCTGGTGGATGGTCTGCGTCCAAAGGTCGATTTCGTTGCGGTAGGCCTCGGGAAACTTGAGGCGCGTCGCCGTGAGCCGGTGCATGACCAGCTCGACCGACGTCTTGGCCCACGACGTCGCGTGGCGGGCCATGAGCGTCCGTAGACACGGGAAGAGCACCTTGTCGAGCGCGTCGACATCGCCGTCGTTCTTGCTGTCGACGCCTTCGTCGCGGCGATCGAGGTGCGTTGCGAGAGCTTTCGTCGCCTTCGCAAAGCGGTACGTGTCGTCGGTGAAGAGGTCGTTGTGCAAGACCGCGTCAAGCACCCAATTGTCGATCGTGTCGGCCTCGTACTCGGGCGCCTCGAGGAGCGCGACGCGGTGCGAGTCCACGAGCATCATGAGCGCCTTGAACTCATTTCGCGCGTCAACGTGGTGGATGCGATCGGCCTTGGCTTCCATAACGCCTTTGATCGCGTCCAGAAGCGCAGTCATGACGTCTTCCGACGGCGAGCGCACACTGCACTCTTCGACGAGAAGCTTTCCGAAGAGGACTGAGGCCTTGGCAAACTTCTTGTCGACCATCTGCCGCACAAGTCACGCATGAGCCATCTCCATGACGAGCGTGTGGTACTAGTACTGTACCATGTAGCCCTTGATCTTGTCGATGGTCTGGAAGAGGTCGAGCGCCGGCTTGGCCGCCGGCTTGGGCGAAGGCGGCGATGGCGTTGGCTCGACCGTGACACGCTTGGGGACGGGTTGTCTAGGCTCGTCGCCTTCTTCTCGCGGTCGCTTTGCCTGGGCAGGCGTGGTCACGTTCGGGAGGTCCGCATATGGGTCGTCGCTCATGTCGGTCGAAACCCAATATTGCACGTGGTAATATAAACTCTTTCTTTTGATACTATATGCATTCGTAGAGGTCCACTGACCAAATGGTCAGATTATTGCTGCAATGGCAATTGAACGCCTCCAAGCAAGGAAGCCGACGCACTCCGTACGCATCCTTGCACATGAGTAGCAACTGTTCGAGTCCGAGCGCGCCCATTCGAGGTAGAATTATGATCGCCCGTTCCAGACCACGGGTCCCGACCCTGGATATGCCTCGACCAGTTTATGGCTGCAAAGCGCCAAAAACTGGTGCGCGGGAGAATTTTATTGAAGCTACATACAGTACCTAGTATATTGTTGTGGTTTAAGCAATTAACTGGTCGTTTTAGTTATACCGCCATCCGGTGGTTTTAAAATAGACGCATCATTTAATGCATTTAGGGGACGCATCCATAGAAGGAGAAGGTGATTTAAAAGATGACAGCGCATAATAAAATACGAGACAGCACTACAAGCGCGGTCGACCCGCATGGTGACCTTTTCAACTTTTGAACTCGCGCAGTATTGGCCATAGCGCCGGGCAGTCGCCATAGCGCACTACCTCGCCTTCCTCGTTGAGCAGGTCATGGCTCCGCACCAGCGCCAGCGCGACGTCGTCGAGCCATCGCCGGTGCCAGCCATGCGCCCATCGCCGGCCAAGACGGCGCGCCGCCACCGGACCAAGCAGACCACAGCGGCGCCCTTGATCGCGACGCCGTCGCTGCTGACCATTGAGCCGCTCGCGTCCTTGATGCTACCCTGTCTGCGCCAGCGCGATGGAGCTGCGTCGCCTGCATCACAGCCGGTGCCAGTTGCGAGCCCATCGCCGGCCAAGCGATCGCGCCGCGCGTTGCAGCCCGAGGCTGCACGGGCTACGGCGACCCCGACGGGAGGCGTCCTTGAAGAGCTCCCACTGGCATCGACAGCGCTACCACCCCCACAGAAAAAGCTGGGCCGGCCGAGAAAGATGCGTGTCGAACGACCGCCTGCAACGAACGCGCCGCCGTCGATCCTCGAGACTCTGTCGTCCATGGTGCTACCGCCCCCCAAGAAGAAGCTTGGACGACCGCGAAAGATCCGCGAGAGCCCAGCGCATGTACCTACCTCGGATGCACCTGCGATCGTCCTCCACGAGGCCAGTGAGGAGGAACCATGCGCCTTACGCCGACGGCGTGAGTCTGCACGCCGGCAACCAGCAATCGATCCATCAAGCTCAGAAGCTGCACCGAGTCGCGTTCTTCGACAACGCCGCATGTGGCCGAGCACGGAGGTGCGTCTCGCTCCAGAGGTCCTTGCACCGCCTTCGCCGGCCATTGAAGTCGACACGAGCATCTTTCCGCTGCAAGCGTTGGTTGCCCGCCTACCCGAGCCCAGCAGCGACATGGACAGCGACAGCGAGAGCGTCTTTCGACTACCGTTCACGCCCGAAGAGATTGCCGCCATCGAGGTGCGTTCCGTGCATCGACCACGTCTTATAGCGCTGCGTAGGCCGTGCCAATACAGTGGTCGCCGCCCAAGTTTGGCCACATTTCCAAGAACGTCTATCTAATCAAGAAGGCCGCGTCCGTCGAAACCCACGCCAACAAGTGCGCGTGCGCAGCTGGCGCGATCTCCAAGGTCGGAAGCTCGTCCCGGCCGATCGAAGCGCCTCGGAAAAAGGCCAAGACGGTATCGCAGTCGCCAGCGTCAACCTATTGCGGCGACGCGTGCCACAACAAGTACCGTCTTGGATCGCAAAACCCTCGATCGGATCATTGAGGATGCGTAGAATGCTGTATATTGAGTGCTGTGACCAGACGTGCTCAGCACCCGACCCCGACTTGTGCGTGAACCGCCCGTTCCAGCACCGCCATTCCAAGTTTGTCTCGCTCGTGTCTCCTCCGACTGACTGCACTTACGCTGGGAGTAGAGCGACGCGGGTGCAGTACATGGCAGAGAAAGGGTTTGGGCTCGTGGCTGACGAAGCCATGGACGCGCAAGCCTTTATCCTCGAGTACGTTGGCGAGGTCATCGACGCCGCGATGGTCAAGGAGCGCATGGCGGCGGCGAGCGCCAACCGCGAGGTTCGTTTGGTCTACATCGACATGGAAATCATGGTGCTTTAGACGCACAACTATATGCTCGAAATCGAGAAGGACATAGTCATTGACGCGCGTCTGAAAGGCAACGTGAGCCGCTTCATCAACCATTCGTGCGAACCCAACGCGCGGGCCCAGAAATGGTAGATCGGCTTCTTTCTGCCAAGCTCAGTGTTTCTCGTAGGACGTGTCAGGGCGTCGTGCGCATCGGGATCATGGCGCTGCGCCCGATCGCGGTCGACGAAGAGATCACGTTCGACTACCAAGTACTTCTACATTGCTATCTCTCGCTATCGTGATATTGATGCCCGCGGCTAGTTTATCCACTTTGGCGGCCGCAAGGTGCAGTGCCATTGCGGCGCACCCGGATGCAAGGGCGTCTTGGGCGGCAACCTCCAGGGCTCCTCTGGGCAGAACCCATCGACACCCGCGGATGCCGAGCACGAGGCAGCAAGCCAGAAGCTGCCGCGACCGCAAAAATCCTCCTCGCTCAGTGTCTTCAAGAACGCGCAGGTAGCATCCTCATTTGGTCAACGCTGCAGAAACAGAAAGACGCAAGTAGCTGCACCGGGACTGGCTCGCCAAGTACGGGGCGTCCAACCGATCGTCGCCGCCGCTCTTCCTCGCCCACCGCGTTCCAGATCTCGTCGACGTCGACTCGCACCATGCCACGATACTCGAGCACCGCCGGCCGCTCGAAGCGGCGCGGGTGGCGGCGCCGACGACCTTGGCGCTCGCGCAGCCGCTCACCAAATCGTACTTGGCCGGTGGCGTCCTCGACTACTCGGACGAGCTGCGCAGTGTGCAAAAGCGAGCCGCCCCGTCTGCTCCGCCGCGTCCGTTGAGCCGCGTCAACCTCTTGGATGCCCGGTCCAAGCTCTTTGATGGTACATAAGCCTCCGTCTGCCCTGCGATCACGGGAGCTCACATGGCGGCGTAGACATTCGGCGATTTGTGCGTGGCACGTCGCGCTGGAACAAGCGCCTCAACATCGCCGCAAGCGACTTGGACGACGCCCGCGTGCGCCGCCTCTTGGAGAACGTGGAAGATGGCATGAACCTCACGCGCGGCGACACGGTACTTAAGCGTAGTAGCGTCTGCACAGTCGCTGACACACGAGAGCGTAGGCCGACTTGAACGAAGACGCGTGTCATCGATGCGGCCAAACCGGCGAGCTCATTTGCTGCGATGGGTGCCCCGCGGCCTTCCACTTGTCGTACGTCTGCTTTAATGCATGCAATGGGAGCGCATGGATGGGTATGTGTAGATGCGCCGGCCTTTGCATCGTGCCACCAAGTACGTGGTTTTGCCCGCCCTGCCGCCGGCAGCACGTGCCCCACGTCTCGAACCGACACCGCGTCCAAGTGGCGCCGTCGATTTTCCAGCAGCAGCCGACGAATGCGCCGGCGACGGGCCCACAGAAGCGGTCGCGTCGGAAACGCAAGGCGCCGTAGCAGCAGGAACGACGAGCATCGACCCGTTGAACATGATGGAAATGGTATTAGATGTCGTCCTTGACGGGCCCTTCGCACTTGTCGGCGAGGAAGCCTTCGCTGCTCTGCTTGGCCTTCTACACATCGATAGCGTCGTCGTAAGCATGCGCACGTAGTCAAGAGGTGAGGCGTACCACGATGGCGGTCGCCAGCAGCGCGTGCGGGCCGGCGTTCTTGGGCACGGGCAGCAAGCCACCGTCTTCCTTGCCGCCGTAGCAGTGGGGCGTCGTGAGGCTCTCGGTCGTGTCGTAGAGGTTGTCGGGCGTCGACGGGTGCACGGCGAACTCGTGCACGAGCTCGCCCTTGAAGCGGATCGTCATGGTCACACCGGGCTTCATTTCCATCCGATCCTGGAAGGCCAAAATGGAATCGGCACACGCTATTTCGCGCCGCGAAAGCACACTATTTAATCGTTTGCGAAATGGCAATTAGCATACATAGCACAATAGTTTACAATGGAGGTTCACGTCCAATAGAGAAGCTAATGGCTGCTACAAGCAGTGATCACGTGCAGAGTAGCAAGGAATTAGTGCAGGAAGGCTATACCAACGCCGTTGTGTTGCACTTATAGTATGTGAATCTTGGCCATTTGCACATTAGAGTGCGCGCCAGATATTGTCCTTTGTAGATTGAGTGCCATAATACCCGCTAGAATTGATGTGCAAGAAATGCATTATCAGAGGTTTAATCCGGGCAGATTCCGGATACGCTCGTCGACCTCGGTCAAACTCAAAAATTCAAATCCAAGATGTCGGGCCGACCATCCCGGGCCGCGACAGGCGCGGGGACCGCCCCTCGGCAGCCGACCGCACGGACTCGGAGGACGACCTGCGCCAGCGAGGCCAGGTCCAGCAGTCTCACGCGACCGACGGTCGCGTCCCAAGCGCGGATCGTGACCAAGGCCACGCTGCCAGGCCAAGCGACGAAGCGACCGATCACACTCAAGGGTAGCACCGCCGGGCGCGTCCAGCTCAAGCCGGCTGCCCGGAAGCCTGCGCCGCCGATGAAGCGAGCTTTGACGATCCCAAAGAGCCCCAACTTTGCGACCTCCAAGCGGCCACCGCGCACGAAGCCCGAACCGGTCCCGCCGCCGCCCGCGAAACCGGTGCAACGCCGGCCCCATCCTCCAATGAAGCGTCGACTTACGATCCCAAAGAGCCCGGACTTTGCAACGTCGCACCGTCCGCCACGCGCGCGCGAGCAAAAGGTGAGCGCGACGACCAAGGAGCTGCAAGACATTGCCAACGAACGGCGTGCCATGATGCTCGAGCGCCGGCGCTTCCAGCGCTACCATCGCGCGACACAAGGCCTCCCGACGAAGACCCCGACGCAAGGTCCAACCTTTGCGATGGTACGAAGCCTCCTTCCACTCCAAGATACGACATGGCATGCGTAGAAATTGCGCTCGGCTGGCGTCCTCGGTGTTCCCGCCGTTCGTCGCCCCAAGCTCACGCAGGTGCACGAGTTCCGCTTCCAAACCGACGTCCGCGCTCTCAAGAAGGAAAAGCCGACGCAGCCAAGCGCCTGCTGGAAGAGAAGGAAAACGCTGCCGACCTGCCGCCCAACAAGCGCCGCAAGTTTCGCTGACGTGGCTTGTACGAGCCGCTTCTTCATACTATGCCTATACAGTTGTTGCTTGTTCAAGACGTTGTGTCTGCGTGCATCCGTATCGTCCTTGCCTTGGCGGTTCCAGCCTCTCGCACTGCGTATACGAGGTAGTAGCAGAGTGAGTTGGCTGCTTCGAATGCATCGTGCCAAGCGATCGCAGGGCAGTTGCTTTCACCGAGCTCCTTCTTTGGCTGCTTAGTTGAATACGATAGCGCCCCTAGAGCGTCCCTTCTCGCGCCGTGGACTGCATTCTGACCTCCAGCACCGTCGATGGCGCCAAGTGACGGCAGCTTCAGCCTTCCAGGATCGTCGCAACAACATCTCGTCGACGTATCGCTGTTGAGAGACCAAGTCTCTTAGCTGTCCAAGCCATGTGTACCAAGGCCTTGCTTGTATACTAGTATCCAGGGATATAATGAAAGACCCAATGGAGGGAAGAAAGATGAGCTTCGCTGTTAACGTGCATATAAAGGAGTGCTAGAAAACGATCTAGCGCGCGGAAAAGCGGCAGTCGAAAGGCTCGGGAGGGCGGGAACGCGCGAGGACCTCCATGCTGATGTGCTTCGAGGACGCATAGGCCTCAATGGCTGCCTCGTCCTCGGCATTGGCACTCAATTCGAGCGTGATGTCCGGGCGAACTTCCAGTGCGTCCAGAAGCGCCATGATGTCGGTGACGCGGTGGGTATCGCTGTAGAGGCTTCTGCTCTGGAGGTCGAGAGAAAGTGGGGGCGCTGTCTCGGGTCGCGTCGAGAGCAAGAGCCCCAGCGTCTCACCGTTGAAGGCGCACGGGCGAAGCGACATGCCCGAGAGGCGGTGCGTCCACAAACCAATGACATGCAGGAAGAGGTCCAACGACGCGGCCGGAATGCGCTCCATGTCGATCCAATGCACCTCGTTCAAGTTGGGCAGGTTGGACGCCCAGAGAAGAAAAGGCTCGAAACTGGCAGCGTCCCACATCGACACGTACTGCACGGTCAGCACCTTCAAGCTCGGCGGCGGAATGGCCATGAGCGCGTCCGGTGCCGCCATGATGTTGCCAAACTGCAGCGCCAGCTCTTCGAGGAGCGGCATCCGACTGAGGAACGGGAGGAGGCAGTTGAAGTCGTCCAAGCCGCTGGCGTCGAGGTGCGTGAGGTTGGAGAGGTCGAGAAGTGCCATGAAGTCACGAATGTCGCGGCGCAAGAATTGAGTGTCCACAAAGAACTGCACCGCCTTCAAGTGGTGCAGAGGTCTGCGCGCGGCAATGAGCGCATCGATGACCGCTTCCGAGTTTTCCAAATCCAGGTTCGTGACGGACGTGGTTGTCGCGAGCAACGCCGCAAAGGCATCTGCGCTGGTTGCCGAGTTGAAGTCGTAGAGGCCAAGGTCTGTGATCCGCCCTGTCTGGAGGCACTGCGCCAGAGGGTCGAACGGAGGGTCGTTCATGCCTGGGGCAAGGAAAAGCGTCAACTTGTGGACGCTCGGCGGCAGCAACGTCGCGCCGAGATGATGGATGTCAAGGTGGACTTGCTCGAGACGTGCACACAAGGGCACGATGTCTCTGAACTCGGGCACGTCAAACCACCCCTTGTTGAACTTGTCGACCGCCTTGAGCTTGGACGGCAAGGCGGCGAGGAGCGCCGGTAGGTGGCGTCCGTGCACGAACGCCACATGGGGAAGAACCGCGTCTGGGATCGCGGGCAGCGCGGCCACGACGAGATCCAAGTGCTCTTCCGAGATGTTGCTCATGTTCACCGCCGGCCACTGACCGTCGAAGGCCATGGGCGTCGTCATGAGCTCGCGGAGCGCGGCCAGCGGCGCGCCGAGCTCGGCCGGCGGCAGCGCCACGAGCAAGGCCGTCGCGTCCTCCCGCGACTCCACGTAGATGACGACCGAGCAGAAGAGAGCAGCCGGAAGCGCCGTCGGCGGCTCGACCTTCGCCTTCTTGGACATGTTGCAGCAGCGTCGCAAAATGGCTTGTGGAGTTGTTGGATGCGATTTAAATGCACCTCTTATCTTAACATACAAACAACAAGATACAAAATAAAATACACCATTCACGCTGGTGATTGGCTCATTTTCGAATCCGGAACCGCTCGATTTGAACGTGGCAGCAGGAGGTGCAAGCTTGAGTCGGCGGCGCCACAAGACGATAGAGAGACGTCGAGTATGGCCCACGGAGCTGGGAAATCGTCAACTATCGAAGGTCGCTAGCTTGGCGGCCTGCGAGAAAGCTGCCCCATTGCTTTTATCACGCTGTTCTTTGAGCTGGCGAAGGGATACGGCAATCAAACCACAGTAGAGCACAGTAGAGCACGGTAGCTGCATGTTGGCGGTGAAATACCTGCGGCGTCTACTTGAAGACAGCATATTTACGTCGTGCTACCTTCGTGTTCAAGGGTGCTCGCATACTACACGGGATTTCCTGGGGACAGGCTTGCTGCATTCACTGCCATCTCAGCGGAACAGCCAGCGACATCGTATGTTGCTTCTCGCAGGTTATTTAGCCCTGGTCGCATGCAGGCGCATTGGTGTAGCGCCTATGGTTGTTGCCAATGACACGTCTGGCATACCGGCACCAAGGGACCGGTTTGGTTCTGGCGGCGGAGAAATTACCAAACGCATTCAGGCGTAGCCCTACGTATGCGACGTCTTTGAGCTCGTTTCTGCTAACTTGATTTCAACGCGAACACGTTAGATTGATTGACTGATTAATTGATTGACTAATTCGACAAGAATCGTTTAAAATTTGATTAAAATGCGCGGCTGCGGATCGGTGCTTGGGTCTCTGCGCATGTAGCGCTAAAAGCATAGCTTTTCAATGCGCACGAAGAAGTCCCTTGCATGCGCACACTTTGAGTGTACATATAAGTCCTTCGAAACGCATGCAACGAAGTCAGATGTGCACCAGAACTATGCAAGCTTAGAGATGGCCCAGCTGCGTTGGTGAGCTGATCTGGTACAGTTGACTGAATGCAGCATGGCCAATCTAATCACTGCTACAGACCCCACTTTCCACGGGCGCGATCTTTTGATCACTTTATGGCCAATCACAGACCCCACTTTCCACGGGCGCGATCTTTTGATCACTTTATGGCCAATCACAGACCCCTTTACAAATTACTGCTACAGACCCCACTTTCCACCAGCGCGATCAATTGGCGCCACGCATTTGTTGTCTGCGACTGCTGATTGGTAGAAAAGGAGTCGTTGCTCGGCGACACCGTGTCGCTGCCGACACCGATCACGCCGACCGTCCGCGCCGCCACCGATTGCAGCTCGCCCAAAGCCAAGAAGCCCAAGCGCCCGCGCACGTTCTCTTGCGACGGTACGACGCCGGCCGTCGCATCGGCGCTGGCCGAGATCAGGTACACCTGTCACGTTGCAGCTTGTACATGAAAACTCAGAGGCGCCCAAGAAGGAGGTGCCGGCGCCAGAAGGTCGCAACCCACTGGGACCGTGCGGCGCGTGCAACGAGTGGCTGCTCAAGATTGCCGAGGCCAACCCAAGCTTCAAGATCATCACGTTGTTGAAGCCGTCTTTTACAATAGATAAACGATGCTAAATAAAATTGTCGGGCTTTCTTCGTTGTGTGCACTCGGTTGAGGATCTTGATCTAGACAGGCGGAGGCAGTAGCGCGATCCGCGGGACTAGGTGACGTCGCGGCCACTCGTGTTGGGCGAGGCGCCGGAGAAGCCGACGTAGCGCAGGCTGCTCGGGCTCTTGTACGAGGCTGCGGTGCAAGTGCAGTTGAGTGCCACCTTGAAGGCAATCGTCCATGGACTTGGCAGCGGTAGGACGTTGAACTAGACGCATACTTGTACACGATGCACGATGGTCGAGACAGGCAAATAGAGCACCTATACAATGAGGTGCGTATTTCAAAATAAAATACAAATTGCACGCTACAACCAGCAACGGTGGCGTAATAAAATCAGCGCGGTGCAAAGAACCGGCGTCGCCTGGAAAGAACTTGATGTTTGTATACTATACAAACGCTGCATCGCACCCACGATACGAACAACCAAGATACGACGGTAGCAGCATGTTCGGTCGACTGGCGCAGTGGCTCCTCCCGACCGCGGCCCCGAACGACGAGCACGCCAAGGACCGCTACGACCTCCTCGTGCGTCGACCTCCCGCTTCCTGCATCTCATGCAACCTTCTTCGTAGGCCTCGCTGAAGAAGGCCGTCATGGACGTCTGCCACTGGCACGAAGAAAAGGCCAAGCTCGAAACGAGCGGCAAGACGATCGTGCTCGAGGAAGACGACATTGGCGTCTATGATCTTTGTCGATGCATCCAGAGCTGTCTCAACCACGGGCTGCGCCATGGCCACAACGACGCGGCGGCCTCGTGCTGGCCGCTCGTGCACTTTGTCGGGACCGCGGTCGCCGAGGCAAGCGCGCCAGTCGCAGGCACGATCCGCGAAGCGTCGCGGCTGTCGTCGACGGACGCAGGCAAGTCGCGCGTGTGGATTCGCCTCGCGTTGAACCAAGCGATGCTCGAAGCCACGGTCGCGGTACGAAGAGCAAAGTCTCCTCGTGCCTCTCACACCATCGTAGCTCTTTCTGGCGCTCGACACGGAGCAGTTTCTCCGTGCCAGCTGCGAAGACTGGGCCCTGCTGCGCTGCGCCGAGGGCGCGTCGATCTTTGTCCAGCTGCTCACGTACCTTCGCGACTTGCATTTTCAGATTCCGATCTCGGACCTCGAGTTTGCTCGGCGCCGCAAGAGCCAGCCCCGCGTTTCCATTACGCTCGACGCCGCTGCTGCACCCAGCACACTCGAGAACATGGACCTGCTCTTTGAGAAGGTCGAGGCGCTCGTCGACGACGTTGCTAGCCAAGGTACTCGTCCGTCGGAGCGCCGGCCATCGCGCTCGACTGCGCTTCTTGTAGCCGACGAGTACTTTTCGGTCGCGGCGCGGCGTCTCTCGGACAAGAAAAAGGTAGTACGTCCAATCGCCCATGGTATCAACTTTGTATCAGGGTATCAAGCCGTGGCAGCACGTCTTTAACGTCGAGCTCTCGTTTCTTGTGCGCAACCCGTACCACACCAAGTGCGCGTTCATCGACCCGCACCTCGCGATTCCGAATTTTGTGCTCGAGTGCCTCGATTACATTGCGTCGCACGCGTCGACGCCGCGCCTCTTCCGGACGACTGTCTCCCAGGTACGTACCCACATAATGCAATCGTCCAACACGCCTATCTAATATGTCCTAGGTCTACTTGGCGCCGGTGAAAGACTACATTGAGTTCCACGGGTGCCTTCCCAAGCAACCGGATCCGCACGTCGTCTCGGCGATCCTCGTCGAGTTCCTTCGGCACATCCCCGAGCCGCTCATCACGTCCGAGCGCTACGACGCGTTCGTGTCGTCGTCGCGCATGCCGGACGAAAGCGACCGCGTCCGCAACCTCGCCTGCCTCGTCGCCGACCTCCCCATCGAGTGCAAGATTGTGCTGGAGCGGGTACGCATGATGTCGACCTCTCGACGGCTTCGGAGCCATGAAACTAGGTCTTTGGGGTCCTCGCGACGCTCCTCGAGCCCGCGCATGCAGCGCTCAATGGCCTCAACGTCGTCGGCCTCTCGATCGCACTGGCCCCGGCCATCGTCCGGAAGCGAGAGACGCGCGAGAACAAGCTCCAGATGCAGTCGCAGGAGGTGCGCATGGCGGCGATCGGTGCCCACGTCGTCGAGCTCATGCTGTCGCACCACGAGACGATCTTTGCGTCGGTTCGCAGCACGATTGACAAGGCGACGCAGGTCCGTTTGGCTTGCGTACACACGTATTTGAACGCCACGCGGTAGGAGTTCGAGGCCAAGCAGCGCTTCCTCTCGAGCTTCGCGCCGCTGGTCAAGCAGCACCCGGTTGTTGGCAACGTGGATGACGACGCAGCACTGGAGGCGATCTGGAACTGCATGAAGCGCCACCGGTCCCAAGTGCAGACCATGGAAGAGACGGAAGCACAGGCCAATGCGACGCGGCGGCAGAGCGCGATCCTGCGCAGCGAGGGCCAGCAGCACGCACGTGACGAAGACAACAACCAAGCCAGTGCGACTTGCGTGTATCTTGTCTCGGCATCTCTGAGCGACCGATGCGTCTGTGTAGATGACGAGAACGACGGGATGGTCTTTGAAGAGATTCCGCTGCCGTCAAGCGCTGCGACGGACGACGTCGCGCTCTGGCAAGCGTACGGGCTCCATGCAGAGCGCGTCCTCGACAACTTTCAGAGCGGCGGCGTCCTCCTCCTGCGCTGCCTCGCCTACTACGTGCAGCACGACCCGAAGGCGCTCGAGGTAGAACGTTCTCCACCACGTGTGTGTGGATGCTGTACCGTTGAGTTTAGTACTTTGCGTCGTGCGAGCGCCGGACGCCGCCGCGCTCGTACAACGCACTCACAGCGAGTGCGGCCATCGTCGCCGTGCTGCTGAACGCGCTCAAGCTGGCGCCGACGCCGTCGCACCCGAGCATCGACTTTACGTTTCTCTCGATGGAGCCGTTCTGGGAGATCCTCGCCGACCACGCGTTCTTTTACCGTATGTTTGGGCTCGGCCTCGAAATGTTCGAGTACCAATGGACGTTCACGCACGACTTTGGCCGCGTCCTCGAAGAGACGATTGCGCAGCTCGAGTGGCTCCTGCACCGGTCGCCATCGTCCATCGACGACATTATCGACGACTGGAAGTTGTACCGGAAGACGGCGATTTCGTCGCGTCAGAATTCGATCACAAACATGCTCGCGGCCATCGCGACGCCCGAGGCGGCGGCGACGACCACGAAAGCGCTGGACTTTAACGAAGCCGCGATGGCGCAAAAGCTCATCGGCGACTCGAAGATCCTCAACATTGCGCACATTGTCGAGATTGACGAGGTGCTGCCGATCACGTGCCAGCTCTGCAAGTGGAAGCTGCTCTACAGGTACAACCCACTATTTTTCTGTATTGGAGCCACGTCGGGGATAGCACGGACGTCCACGGCGCGTCGCTCCAGTCGCTTTTGATCCTGGCCAAGGCGCAGGTACGACGTTTGGTGTCCATATATATACAAGACAATGGACGGTGGACGTGGATGCGATGTAGAGTCCGACGCTTGTGGTGGTCCAAGACGACCAGAATGTGATTTTCGGCGGCTTTGCCTCGGACGAGTGGCACCATGCGCTCAACTACTATGGCAACGGCGAGTCGTTCCTCTTCACCTTTGAGAACGGCGCGAGCGTCACCAAGCACCCGTGGAGCCGCAAGAACAACTACTTTCAGCTCTGCTCGGAAGACGCGCTCATCATGGGCGGCGGCGGCAGCTTTGGCCTCTACCTCGTACGCCTCCGTCTCCTTGGATCGTACTTTGAGATTCGGCGTAGGACGCCGACTTGCTCCAAGGCTCGACCGGCGCCTGCGACACGTTTGCGTCCAAGCCGCTCGTTGCCCGCGAACGCTTTGTGTGCACCAAGCTCGAGCTCTGGGGCTTCTCGGCCACGTGAATTTCATTTGAATATACTATTGGATCTCTCTGCCCTTAGACTTGGGCCGTTTGAATCTCGATGAGGTCGGTGACCACGTCGTGGAAGGTCTCAAAGTGGTGGCTGATGGCGCCGTTCTCGTCCTTGTCGACCACGCTCTTGAGCAAGCCCTTGGCCTTCTCCCATGCAGGCGACTGCGCGAAGAGGGCTGTAAACTTCTCCAGTAGCGCACCTGCCAGCGCGTCCATCTCGCGGCCGTCGGGGTCGGACGATGTCCACGCATAGAAAAGCACGACCTGGAAGAGGATGTTCTCTGTCGACGCCATGTGCAGCCGCATCGGCGCTGGCGACGACGGGCCGAGGTGCCCGGGCGACGTCGCGTACAGTGGCGACGCGAGGCCGCCGGACGGTGTGGGCGAGACCGAGTGGAACGACCCGGTCGAGCTGTGCGGGCTTGCGTACGGCGTCGAGCCATAGGTCGACGAGCGCGACTGGAGCAGCGACTGCCGCAAGGACGTCGACGTTCGCCGCGTCGATGCTGCCATGGTCGTCTTGGGCAGCGCCGGGAGGCCAAAGTGGGCGGCGCGGATGTGGCCGCCGTCAATCTCGCGGGCAAACTGCGAGAAGCTGTGGACGAGCGACCGGAGGCCCTCGGCGCGCGCGTCCTCGTGCCAGCTCCAGCGCTTGGCGAAGAGTACGACGCAGCTCGTGACCTCGAGCACTTGGAGGTAGGCGACGCGTTGGTCCATATCTTGTCTGGATCCAAAACGCACCTGCATTGGAAAGATGCACCGATTGCATGGAATGTGCACCCGTGGCGGGAACACAACTTTATTTCAAGCTTGGGTTAGGACGTGGTCTACCAGCAGCCTTGATGTCTACCAGCAGCCTTGGTTCCAGCCGCCGTTCCAGCCGCAATTGCCACCAGTGTTCCAGCCAACACCGCCCCAGCCAGCGCCGTTCCAGCCACCGCCGTTCCAGCCACCGCCGCCCCAGCCGCCACCACCCCAGCCACCACGCCAGACACCACCACCGCCACGCCAGACACCACCACCACGCCAGCCACCACCACGCCAGCCACCACCGCCACCACGCCAGACGCCACCACGACGACCCCATTCTGCTCCGACTCGTGAGCCGGGTGGTCCTTCGGAA